TATGCTCGGTTCTTCCCTGAGGCTGACGCCAAGAGCTACGCGCGGCATGTGTTCCGCTCCTTCGACACCAACGATGATGGCACGTTGGACTTCAAGGAGTATATCATTGCCTTGCACATGACCTCCAGCGGGAAGACCACCAGGAAGCTGGAGTGGGCTTTCTCTTTGTTCGACGTGGACAAAAACGGGTACATCAACAAGACAGAGGTTAAGGAAATCTGCCAGGTGAGGGGGGTTCTGGAAAACACCAACGTCAAAGGTTTAAGCGTTATTATTCTAGGAAAACTGGAATCATCTAAATATGACCAGTGTTTCAGCTAGAGCAAAGCATCACCGCCTTTTTAATGTTCTCTCTTATTGGTTGTCAAATAAATGTCATCCAGGAGTTCTAAGTTGTTTGAGTAACAACTATATATTCCTACATATAGCTGTTACTGTTTCCAATGTAGCAACTATATGAAGGCATATAGATAGATTTGAACAGATTGTCTTTTTCATGACAAATCGTGACATATAAAGATTAACTGGCAAGATGTAATCCAACCCCACGGTCAAGCATTTGTCTTGTGAGGCTTATGAGATTAACATTTTTTCATGTTGTGCTTATTAAATCTAAACTTGTTATTGCTGCATCATATGGTTCAAATTACTGCTTTTCTCTCATCTTCTTTTTAGATCATTTCAACTGTTGCTGTCTTTAAATGGAAATTAGAGACCCTTGTCGTTGTATGTAGGTCTCAGCCCTGATTGCCATTTCAATTAGCCTGTCATTTTGATCTCCTGCAAAAATCTCTGTGATTATTGGTTTAGCCGTCAGACATGAGGGGCAGAGTCGGTCAGAAGAGAAGGGAGTGTTTTTGAGCTCTATCCCTCATAAGGAGACTATCAGTCAACTTTGGTCTAATCTTTTACTAGAAAGGTGTCGGACTCTGCATTACAAAGCTAAATACTGTGCATTGTTTTGATAGAATCAGTCTTATGAAGGCCGCATATTCTGTTTTAAGACAAATGATAAAGATTTGTAAGAGGTTTAGGAAGATCAGCCGAGAATCCAGCTTGAATTGTAATGGGATTTCTCTTCTGGCCAACTGGCCTTAGTCCAACATAAGGTTATGTTTACAGTCTTTATGTGAAATTTTTGTATTTTTTTACAGTCACAAGACTCAACTAGCCTTAAAGAAAGCACTAACAAAACAAAGAAATAGCCTTTGACAACAGATTATTTTCAAGTCTTTCTTAAATTGAAAAAATACATGTCAATTGTTGGAGACTATCCTCCATTTTACATACACTTTGATTTTTAAATCTGGATTTAGCATAGATGAATTTAAAGATGAAACTAAGGCCTTAGCTTTGCAAAGTATCTGACATATACATCAGGCTTCATTCGAGGTTGATAAGCAGCTTTGGCACCGCTTCGTTCTATGTTTATAAATGACTGCATCCTCACAACCTTGTTATCTAGATGGAGATAATTAGATTATGTATAGTCTAGCTACAGCATTTGCACTATACAGACCACAAGATCAGTGGAACAAGAGTGATGTAAAGCGCAGTAAGAGAAAGAGTCGACTTCGTGGTTCTTTGGCTTGCAGCTTGAGTCTTGGCTTTAATCCATGTTAATCTAGGTGTCTTAAATGTTGGAGACGAGTGCATCCTCTCTAAGTGGGACACACACTTATGGGACTGAACCTGAAGTAAACAGAGTTTTAGCCATTTTCAGCCCCCTTTCAGCCTGACTCATTGCAACTTGACTAGAGTGCACTGTTAAATTGGGGACCAAGTCATAATTTCAACACAATCTGAAAATTTTACAATTTCTATAAAAATGTTCCATAAATCTGCTGTAAATAGACTGGTGATGATATTAAAGAAAATTTGGACTTTAAACCAGCAAGAGTTTGATGGTCTAACTGGTTTGATTAGATGCTCCTTCAAAGCTTTCACTGTTAAATGCTTCTTGCTTAGTTAATTTCTGTGCTTTTAACATGTCCAGTAAAGCTAAGAAAGAATGTGGCAGCATTTTCATCCTGTGTTGTTTTTGTTTTTCCACCCAACCCCCCTCTTAGGCCATATTTAAGCTGATCCCTGAGGAGGAGCAGAAGATGCTACCGGAGGATGAGAATACACCCGAGAAGAGAGCTAACAAGCTGTGGGCGTATTTCAACAAGAAAGACAATGGTGAGCGTGGCCACATGCACTCTGACGACCAGAGTGAGAGCACCCCACATGTCTCTATGCTTTATTACCTCAGCTTTCAAAGGTTTTGCTCTGCATTTGGACACATTTGTTACCTTAAAATAAGAGTAATCCTGTTTTGATCAACATTAAACATATATATATCTGATGACCAGGTCAGAATGGAAAATTTTTATTTGATTAATTTCCTCTAAGTTAAAGTAACACAAATGTTCAAGTGTCTATTTACAAGGGTTGTTCTATGAGAAAATAAAATCTATATTTAGCATAATTAACTCGAGTAGCTGTCACACAGCTGTTTTGTTACATTTTTTCTGTTTTCCTTTTCAGGAAAAATATTTGTTATAATCATAATTATTTCAAGATATAAAATGCTTACCGAAATTGTAATGTTATCTAGATTCACATAGCTGAAAATAAAATAAAGTAAAAACCAACGATGAATGAAGAAGAATTGCAAATAGTTTTAGGAATAGGTTGAGTTTTAATTCTTCTATTTTGCTATGAATAGGTAATATATCAAAGCTGAAACCAAGGCTTAAATCTTTACATTTTTATGAACTATGACCAAATCTTCTAGAGTGGCAAACATAATGTTTTGAACCAGTAAATGTTTGATTAAGGCAACAGTAGAATATCAGTTTTTATGTTACTTTATAAACAAAAAACAACAAAAAAAGTTTTGTATGATACACTTTTACTTTAAAATCTATAAAATATTTATGTAAAAAAAAAAAACATGATGAATTTGTTAATGTTATATACATTTTTTTTTAGGAAATAGCTACAGTCAAAGTAAATAATAGAAAGTATTAAAATATATTTGGTTACACATTTTAATATATATTTACAGTGTTTTAAAATTATTCTTTATAAATCTGAAAAGATAGACTGTGCACAGAATCCGTTCTTTGAATAATAATAGATGTTTCAGATAAATTAAATTACTTTTATGTCTAGTTCATGTGGAAATTTTATCTTATCTTTTAAGATTTAAAAACGAAGCACATAATTTTTCTAATACATTTATATTAAATATTTTCATTTTTTTTTTGCAGAAAGTATTTCAGACTTTACATTAGATTTTTTTAAAGTTACATTTTTTTTCCTATTTTGGATCATAACACATAACTAAAATATAAATATTTATATTGTACTAAAATAAAACACTTATTTTTGTGCCATTTTTCCATTTTAAAAGAGTACCTGATATTTAATGGGGCCCTTTCATGTGCAATAAAGGAATGTCTTTTACAAGAAAAAAAAATGTTGTTCAGCTTACTGGAAGAATTATTTTGCATTAAAAAAAATAAATAAATAAATATAACCTTAAAGACATTACTGGCTGTAATTTCTTCCTTAAACTCATGTAAAGCAGAATATTTCAATATATAATTAGTAAAGAAAATCAGATGTAAAGCTACATGGATTACATCCACACTTAAACTATAAACCTTAAACCTTTTGTCGTGCCAAACCGTAACTAATGCTATCGTTGTTGCAACTGTCTCTCTCACGATTACAACAGATAAGAGGGGATTTATCTCTTTCACTGTTTTCTTCCTCTTTTTTCTCGTCCACCTCAGAGCGACTGGCTGAAGGAGAGTTCATCAAGGGAGTGATTGAAAACGAGAATGCAATGCGTCTCATCCAGTACGAACCTGTTAAACACTGAAGTCTCTCCTACTTTACCTTTTCTCCCTTTCTGACCTTCCTGGAGCTCCTCTACACCACCTACTTTCTCCTCCTCGTATCAGACGTTGCCGTTAACTTCATTCTTCCGTCTGTGTAAATACAAGTTTCTGTTTTGTCTCCACTGTAACTTTAAAGCCATTTTTAATTTTTTTTCTTGTTGTTTAACTGTTTGTGAATACATTTTAACATAATAGAATCCCGTAGAAAAAAGTTATAGAACAGCCCAAACAAATATCAAACCTACACATGAACTAATGCAGTAAAAAATAGCAGTATGCATTAGTTATCTTGTATAATTGGTAAATTTGTGTTTTAAAATTGGGGTCTGCAGAATAACTTATTAGAAACTCAAAAAAACCTTAGCTTATTATCACTTTTTTACAGACTTTAAATACCTTAATTGAGGTTTTAGCTCCTATGTGTTGTGCTTTATTCACTGAACAATAAATTAAAGGTTTTCTCATACATCTGTTGTTTGGAAATCAATTTATCTATCTGTCCCTTTAATTTCCTTTTTGACCCAGAACTTACTTTATACTATTACTCTTGTGACTGACAAAAATGGCGCTTTAGTTTTTTCCTATTTATTTTATTTTTTTTTTTGTTTTCAATTGTATAATCCCCAGCAGTTAATCCTGGATTATCTCAAAAGTGTAACCTACAGATATTAAAGGTACATTTAGGTCATTTTATCTAGCTTTGTGAATTAATGCCTATATAATCTTTTGTTGAATGGCAAGCACACACCCATAAATCTTCCTGCATGTGACGCTATGGTGAAACTGAGGCTAAAATCCACACAGTCTCCTTCTGAAGGTGTGCCAAAATGTCTTTCCAACCTTCATTCTGACCCCCAACGACTCGCTCCATTCGGTCCCTTCGGCATGTCTCCTCTCTGCTCCTCCTCCGTTCCATCCAACTCAGGATTAATGGTTTACACATAATCTTCTGTTCAACATGAGAGCAGACTTTTCCAAAACCTCTGTAATCATTTTATCTCTGCGGGCCTGTCTGCTTATCTTCACACAGAAACTGTATTTGGTAGCTTTTTTGGTGTAAAAGTTCATTATTTCCTCACAGGTTTGTCATAACCACATAAAGCAGACTTGGAAAATGAAACATTTAATATCCAAGCAGATTAATTATTAGATAGTCTGTATGAGAACAATAAAAGCTTGACATAAAATTGATATCTTAAAAGTATAAATGACAAAGTTAGGTATTTGTGCATTTTACATGTAGAAATATACATTTGCTTTGCTATTTTAGGCACAGAAGCATAAAACATGCAGATTGGTTTGCAAGTTTGACCAATGTGTGCATTAAAGTCTTCCACATTAGGACGTGTTAACAGAGTGGTACTCATTTTCAGTTTGCAAGTTTGGTGACTCATACTGGTTGATTTTAAGTCTGCAAGGAATTAGTTTTGAATATGTCGAAAAAAAACTCCTTAAAACAGCTTAGAGCTGCATGATATTGCATTACTTCCCCTTTTCAGTTCTTGCCTCTGAAGCAGCATCCTAGCTTTGTTTGTTAACCAAACTTAACAACTTATCAAGCATGTCTTTGAGGCAGGTAAATCCTCAGGAACTGAGAGAAGTCTACTGCAGCTGTACGCTCTCAATCTGTCCCTGTGTGATAAGCTAATCACTTAGCTCATATCATAGGTTGATGCAGACTGATAGAAGTGGTGCTTCTGAGTGCAAATGATAATGCAAGAAGCCTAGCATGCCCTTTGTTTTGAAAGTAGTCATTATCTTAAAATAACCCCTGCACTTAACTTCTGTTTCTACCTTTGACTCAGATATCTGCTTTCTAAGAGAACAAAAGGCTTTTGTTAGATTACTCTATAAAGCCTGGAGCTCAACGCTACTCCAGACATTTGACATTGAGAAAGCTTTCTGGATGGGAAACGAAACATCTTCAAACTTGGAAAAAAAAGTCCAGTGGTTTGTTTTTAACTTTTTGAATGACTATGATCTGGATGACTGAGAATCTTCACCAGCAATAGAACAGCAAGTCAAAACACGCCAGCTTCCCTTATCACTGTAATGATGCAGTTTGTTTTAGCCCTTTTAGTTTGTGTGCATAACTTGTCCTTCTAACAGGGTGAATCAATTCGATCCATGGCCTCCCCCATCTTGTCTCTCTCTCGCTCACAGTCCTCACACCCCTCTGGGCCACAGCCTCCCACTAGAACCAGTGTCGGTACATCCCCGTTTCCCACTCCAACCACACTGCCATTCGGCGCCCACGCCACGTCAATCATCCCATCTGGACAGTGTAGCAGGCCGCTAACTGAGTACAGCCCTCCTCCTGGAACCACCTCGTCGTAGGGTGGGGCCCGAGCGGCGGCTCTTGCTTCGTCCAAGCGGAGTCTTTGCCTGCGACGGATCTCAATGATGGTCTTTGTGTAAGAATTGAGTGTGACAACAGCAGCCCCCATGCAGCAACTAAAGGATACCCAGGCAAGGCTGAAAAAGTACAGTTTGAACAGTAAGGAGAAAAGAAAAACTTTCGAGTGTTCGATAAATTTTTGTTTCAATTCTGTTTTTAAGTAGTGACATACGCAAACGACCAGCCGTAGTCCCAGGACTGAGGCCTCCAGTCTTTAGGGCCCACAATGACTGTCATCTGAAATACTGTAGTGAACATCATATGTGCTACCATCCCAAGAAGACCTAGAGAAAAAAGAGAAAAATGTCATTTGCACCCAGAAGCACCCAAGATATGCAAAATACTATATTGTATAGGAAATCATCCTTAGTGGCGGTACTATGACCTTGAATTAAAAACAAAGATTATTAGTTTTCCTTTAGTAGAGAAAAAGGCCCACAGCATCACAGAACTTACACCATATTTAACATTGAATATGAGGAGCTTTTGCTACATTTGTTTTTTAACACAACACCCACGTAGTTGCAGAAAATGTCAGTCTTATATCCCTTACTAATTGCATATCTGCCTTTCACTTTTTTGGTGCAGCGAGACAGGAGGCAATAGAATAATAATCTGGTATTGTGTTAGTATACAATCAACACTGTAGTCTGCACGATTTGACCACCCAGGCACCAATGGAAAGTCAATAAAATTCCTCTGCATGTGGGTCACAAGCTCTAACATAAACACCTGTATGCCATGGTTACAGGATCCATCCACCTGCATTTGAAATATCTCAGCAATGACTCAATAACTTAACTAAATCTCATGATTTTTATGCTGTCAGAACAGATGGTTTTAACAAACTAGGGTCCTGATTGTATGATAACTAAGGGTTTAACCTGATAATGAATTTGGCACAGTGAAAGTTCCAAATGGACATGAGGACTTGGTGACCCTAAGACCAAGAGGAACTTTAGAGATTATTTTATCTCCTGCACCATCATTGCCTTAATAGTAAGATAAATGTGAGACATTTTCCACGATTGTTTGCCACCGCTTCAGAAGTTTCAACATTTCTATTAATACTCTGACTGGCAATATTAGCAAACATGAATGTAGCTATTTTCTTGAAGCCCTTTCCTGCTCTATGACTATCAAAAGATCTATTAAATTAATCTCTTGTCTTTCCCACTTTAAAGTGAGAGAAATGCGTCGTATTATTGTGTGAACCTCATTATATATTCAGCTCAAGATTAAATTTTTTTTTAGAAACTAAAAAAGCAAAGTATAAAAAAAATGCTTCACATTGTTTGGAATAGTAAAGGTGCCAATTACTGTGTTTTTTTGTCGATTGCTTGATTAGATTTTAGCAACCGATTATTATTTTGGACACTAAATACAAAAACAGAAATTAAAGGTTGTTTTTTTTTTCATTTTCAGGTTGAAGTAATCTTCCGTTAACAAAAGACAAATTTATTCCAAGACAAATGTTTTTGGCACCTTAAGTTAAACCATAAGCTCACCTGACAGCACAGTACAAATTGCAGCGAAGGCATTGATTTTTAGTGCGTGCATCTCTTTATGGGAGCACATAACCTCCAGGCACATCAGTAGGAAGCCCATCCCCAGCAGGCCAATATATGTAAACTCAGAAATGACCGACAGCCAAAGAACTCCTGAAATATGTGGAAACATATATGATCATTGTAAAGAAGGATTAGATAAAGCTGTGGAGATTACATGAAAGAAATTTCTATTACACAACTCACCTTGTGTTTCCCCTGGAGTTAAGTCGATGAAACTGCGACATACCTCTCCTGCCAAAATGTACGATTCAGACGTAAGACATTGAGATTTTCAACAGCTAATATCTATAATATATTTTCCCTTTTTATGACCGCCATTATGACCGGCTGAAGGGGTTAATCTTGGTCTCACCATCATTCTGCTTCTCACAGCTTTCCCAGAAGCCAGTATGGAAGTATCTGAAGGCAAACTTGTCCTCTCCTGTCTCCCAGATGTAGTGTACTGCATTGGCCAGCTGCCTTTGTCTGATCTTGGCTAGCTCTTCTCTTCTGTCTGGAGACAGTGTGCGGTTGAAAGGGTTTTGCGTGGGGCTCTCTGTTTGACAGAAAATAAGTGAGGATTAGCATTTTAGGCTTATATTTGAACCTTGTCAACAGATATGATACCTTTTCAACTCATGGAAAATTGAACATGATACTCCTAACTTTTCAGGTGTATGTCAGCAAGCAGGTGTACAATGAAATAAGGGCATTGTGATTTTGATCTTAGTTAACTGAATAGATAAAAAGCAAATGTATGAGGAAAGTTAACTGTTGGATTAAACTGACATTGTGCTATAGCAATCAACACATCCATCCATCAATTGTCCTCCGTCTATCCAAGGGGGGAAATCCAGACAATTATTTCCTCTAAGACACGTTGTCAAGGGAAATCTGGCAAATCTAAAAGTTTTCCAAGACCACTGCTGGTACTGAAGAAATTTGTGAGATCTGAATCTAGACAGACCAGTTAATCATGAACTTTTCTTTGGGACTCCCTTTCTTAGCCACCATAGATGGGATTAAATCCTGCATTGCTTCAGCTAAGGCCCTAGTCCATCTTTTTATTTCATATTCCATCATATCATCACTCTTGAACAAAACACCAAGATACCTGAACTAATTTGCTTGAGGTAGAGATTTACCTCCAACCCTAATAGAGCAGATCACATTTTTGCCATTCAGGTATGACCTCTGACTCAATGACAGACTTAGAGGATTTTGTACCTTTTCTGTAAACTTACAGTACTTTAGGCCACTTGAAGATGCTAGCAGAACCAATGCATCTGCTAATAGCAAAGGCAAGACCTTAAGGTTTTCAAACCAAGCGCTACCAAGCAGTCATAAAGGAGCACATCTACAACAATTGAATGATGTAGATAGGATGAAGACACAGTTTGTGCTTTGCTTGTCTGAGCGGCTTGCCCTTAAAACATTCCTGGCACTCACAAATACCTAAACACTCTCATCAGGATTACACCCGGGAATAGTTGTAAGGCTTCTCAAGACCCATTCAACACCCAAAGTCCCACAAACCCCTCATAGCTCTTCTGTCAGAATAACAAATATACACCTCAAAATATATGTACCTTTTGCAATTATACATGCATCACTCTGAATAATGCATTCGTATGTCAGTAAGTCAGTAAATTTTTCAATATCCCAGTAGCTTTTTTAAAGCCGTTTTCATAACAGTGTGCGTCAATAAAGTCAGATCTCTCTATACAAATAAAACAAGTAGTGATCAAAGTAATCTCATTGTGGATCAGGCTTAAATACAAAGTCCTCAGTGGAAAAATAAGTGTTTAGAGAGCATCATCACACCTCAGAGATTAATACTAAACCCTGGTTAATTCCACCCAGGAACTCATCCTCTGACAGCAGAGATTAAAAACAAGAATTGTCAATTTCTACACAGGGTTGAGCATAGGAGTGTGATGGGGAGAGAGATGTTGGAGGTTCCCTTCTGAACCTCTCATCTCCATTCAGAAACAGAAATGTTTGGAGAGTTTCCATATTTTTTTGCCCATTCTTAATATGCAATATGAAATTTCAGTTTACTGTGATCACCAAGTCACTGAGTAAGCAAACCTCAGAAGTTGGATGTGATGTCATTTAAAGGTATAGTGGAGGATGTTTTTTTTCCCGGGTGGAAAATCAAAATAAGTGGTTCTCCCAATTGTCATCATTCTGGTGATATGTTTACGTAAGGCTGTCCTACGTGCTCATCCCCACTTTCACTTACCGGTGGTGAGTCAGACATACTGGAAATGTGCAAATCTTGTTTTGGAAACCAAGCTTGTATGTGCATATTCTACATGCGTTTAATAGGCGTACATTAGGGAGCAGGTGCAGGGTTGTGCATGTGCATGGGCGGGTCTTTTCAAAAAATGCGAAAGTCCTCCACTGTACTTTAAAAGTCAAAGATGTAACTTAACACACCTAATGAAATTTAGAGATGTCAATTAATAGTCATGTTTTTAGACTGTGGGAGGAAGCCAGAGTACCCAGACAAAACCCATGCATGCACAGAGAGACCATGCAAACTGCCTGCAGAAAGACCCTGGGCCAGGGATCAAACCCAGAAACTTCCTGTGCAAGGCAACACTGCTACAAGCTGCACCACTGTGCAGCCCAGTTACCAGTGAATAGCCTAAAAAATATTAGGCCAAAAACAAAAAATCAGTGAACAAGTCTGTTTGCTTCAAGGAAAATAAAGAAACTCATCATTCTTCACTTTTAATTATACACTGTTATGTTTTTAGTTAACTCATTTGAGACAACTTTAGTTTTGACCTGCTTTTAACATCCACACTTTGAACCAATAAAGTTAGTATTTACCAGTGGTTTTATATTGAATATAGTTTTTGAAGTTCTTATGAAACTACGTATCAGTAGTTGTAAGAATAATTAATAACTACTTTATATAACGTATTATTTTACATTTTAAACGTTTCATTTTCCGAATGCTGCAAAAGGTTTACATACGTCATCAAAGAAGTCGTTCACAATCCATGATAATTTTGGTAATGGAGAAAACAAGTTTAAATACATTGTAAAAATTCTCTAATGCACATTGGGTCTAAATTATTCTCAGATACACAGACTATATATACTTCCACCACTATTTAGGTAAAATGTCCATAGCATCTAGCAAGAATTATGGTTGGTAATGTGAGAAGGTCATTCGGCTATCTCAGAGGTAATTGTTCCAAAATAAAGAATTGGATGCCATTTTGGTATCATTTTACAATTGGATGACCCATTTCTCACTAGGTTCCAATAATCCAACACAAGCTTTTTCATTAGTGTGAAAGAAAATTAAGTTGAAACATTCAGAAGCAAACACGGGGACTGGAACCAGTTTTTTATAAGCAGCACATTAAAGCTCCATAAAATCTTCTAGCTCTATAAAAAAAATGCAGCACACACTGAAATGATCAACACAAAAATAAAAAAAGCATGTACGAAAACAGCATACCTGTTGTGTAAGGCTCACTGTTGTTCTGACCACAGTTCTTCATTTTGACAGGTGACAGGCAGAGAGGCTTGACCACCTTGTGAGTGCCCTCACACCAGTATGAGGTGCAGAGAGCCAGGATGGAGAGGGTCAGAGCCAAAGAGGTTAATGTCAGGGAGAGAACGGATCGCGAACGGCGGGACAGACGCTCGAGCATGGCCACGAGACAGAGGAGGGAGGCAGGGGTGGTGGGATACAACACAGAGGGGTTTAAGGCAAGCAGGAGACAGGGAATAAGTGGAGTGATGGAAGAATCATTTAGATTGGGGCAGATGCTTTGGTGTGATTTTGAAGAGTTAGTCTCCCAGCTTTAAACAGGAAGCAATGATAAATCTAATGTAGCAGAAGAATAAACTGAGCCAGGAGAGGGACTGGGATTTACTAAATAGAATCACAAGTAGAACGAGAGGCTGTGAGGCTGACGCATAGACAGAGAAATATAATTTTTTTCATTGGAGTTTTGGGGAACTGATAACTCCAGAAATCCCCTAATCTTAACTTCTGTCTGAGGTGGTATTAGATCAGTAACTGGGCAACATGAGAAAGGCAAAGGGGAATTTAACATTACGTAATACATTCCACAAGCTAAGTAGGCTTGTGGCAACATCTATCCTTGATGAATGCTCTTTCAGGCACTATCTTAGCAAAAACAACAGCAACTCCTTTAATGGTTCATAAGAAGCTTTTGCAAAGTGACTCAGCCCTGGCTAATATCATTGTGCATCCTTAGGTGGCTCTAGTTGGATTTTTAGGACCACACCAAATATTGACGTTTTAGTGACTCTATAGATGACGCACAGATTTAAATGCCCCTTTGCCCTATAATCCTAAGAAATCAGCTTTATTCTCTCGGTTAGTTTTATTTAAGAGTGCTTAACAGTTTAACCCCGTTGTCTCTCAAGCAGGGCCTCCCTGTCAGTCCACAGTTCCTGAAAAGGAAGAAAATAGTAAAAGAAAAGTTACATTTAGCATCAGTTAATCGTCTATGATCTGGTTATGCTGTGTAAAAAAGCAGTCCAATGAAACACTTAAGCACTTAATAATGCTCTATTGTAGCAGGGTCCCAGCATGTAACATAAAACAATGCATCAATAAATGCTATAAGTAGTACAATATTTCTATATTTTTTGTAAGTTTCCTTTTTATTTTATTCTTTTTATGTAACACCGATGTTTTGCTGGCTTTTTTGTAACAGACAGCACAGAAGAAGCATCAGAGAAAACCATCCCAGCTGAGAGAATTGTCTGACATCAATGTGAATCATGTCTCACAAATCTTGCATCTGTGGAAATGTGGGAATATTGAGGAATTGTTTGAAGAAAGATGAAACAAGTCCCTGCTTCAGTTTCCCCAAAGCTAGCGAGGGGAGACGGGAGCACATAGAAGAACCCTGCAAAGCACTACACTTGGGAAGCTGCTCAGAGTTGATGGGAAGATGGATGGAGATAAATACAAGACATAGGAGTCAAAGTGTACACCTATATCCACCTGAGCACATGGAAGACGACTTAAAAACTCCTGCTAGATCCAATCTCGATGTATAAGCTGTTCAAATGCTAGAAGAGAGACAATATAAATGATTTTTTATTTCTAATTTCTATTTTGTTTTTCATTGTGTGCGATACATGTACACTTGCACCTTAATCCTATTTATCTTGATATACTGTATATACCTGGATATACTGTATATATATTGTTTATTGTTTATTCTTAATGCACCTTTTTCCTCCTTGTTTGCACCTTCTTTGACTTCTATGCCAATATGTGACAAGTGAATTTCTCCGCTGTGAGATCAATAAAGCTCATCTAATCTAATCTAATCTAATCTAATTTCTACTATAAAAAATGGAGTTCAACAAATAAGGAATCGAAAATATATTAATGCCACACTGAACAAAGCTTTCCTTTTTCTTCCTCTTAACAATAATTGCACAACTTTGTGTTTGTTTGTTGCATAACATCCCAAGAAAATATGCAGATGTTTGTGGCTGGTACATGACAAAAGCTACAAAGATTTAAGGGTTATTAACATGCCTGCAACAGAAAGCAGAAGTTTAACTGAAGCTAGGCATTTTAGAAATAAAACAACATGCTAAGCCAAATGACTGAACAATTGTCAGGCAAAAGTTATGTATTTATAGAAGCTAACCTTCACTTTGTGATTTATTGATAAGAAGCAGCTAAAACCTAACAAAAAAGGGTTCCTGTTATTTTTAAAGACTTGAGCAATAGGTAAGAGTAACAAACTTGAAACAAAATACATTTTTGCAATTTTGTCTTAAAATTGCATCAAATTCTGCTTTGCAATTAATGGCTGCAAGTAAATTCTCTGCAGCGTTGCATGCAAAGTTAAGCTTTGCTATGTATCTAAGAGAAGACTAATAGATAATTTTTTTTGTTTTATTGTAGGCACATTGCTCTTGTATTTTTTTTTTGCATGCAATATTTAAATACCCCACCATTTTGAAAGATAATTAAGACATGTTATTTTGAAAGATGTCTTACTTATACTTACCCCAAATCTTTTTGAGTACTTTATACAAAATATTGTGGAATAAAAAAAAGAAAAAAACTTAATCCGTCACTTCTTTGATCCTTCCCATTAAAGAGTTCATCAAAAAGCTCCTTAGGAATTTAAACTTAAATCCTCCACGGTGAACAGCCTGTCACATTCTTCATTTACAGCCTCAGTTGTTTTCCTTCGGACCATCAGTGATCCTTACCTCCCCAGCTCCACTGTGCTCTCCTGTTAAGCCTCCTGCCCAGTGGGTGGACAGAGATGTGAACTGGAGGAGAGACAGAGCATCTGCCTCCATGCCAATCTACTCTCTTTCTTGTGAATTTATGTCACATACGCTTCCTGACTTATATAATCCCTCCGTGTCCATCTGTTGCTATGGTGCCCCCTCTCTTCATATCGGTTCAACCTCAGAGGTGCTTCAGATTCACAAATGAAAGTTTTAATTTACAGTAAAGTGAAAACAAAATGTTCCCGCCTGATAGATATCTTGTGTTTTAGTTTAAAGTCAAAGTCAAAAAGCCTTTGTCATTATATTCTGCAACGGATACAATGAGATTTTGGGACTTCCATATCAGCTACCGTAAAATAAAAAAAATAAAAAAATGAAAAATAAAAAAAAATATATAAATATATTAAAAGGAAAAGGACATGTAAACAGTACTGGCACAGATTGTGTGTGTGTGTGTGTGTGTGTGGGGGGGGGGGGTAATAGTGCAAAACAGGTGTAAAGTGACCGACAGTGCAGGTCGGAGTTGAGGGGGGCAATGGCTTGGGGAGTTTAAGAACATGAAATGATTTTCAATAGCAGAAAAACTACAAAAGCAACTGCAACCTAAACTAATACCTGGTCATGTAAAGTTGTCAGGAACAACAGCTGTTAAGCACATGCAATAAATGTTTTTTTTTTTTCTTGGTGAAAACATGGTTTTAATTTAGCCACAGCAGAGGGTATTTGAGCACAAACAGGTCTATAATCTATTTCCTGTTGTCAAGAACTTTTTTTTTTTTTGATGATCCTTCAAACTGCACATCTGACAGTAGAAAATTAAACACTGTTTTCCAAAAACAGAAACCAATACATAATTTAATTCATGATTTATCACAGCAAGTTAATATATAGTTAGATTTATATACAATATTTATTATCTTTTTTCAAAGAGCCCCTGATAAATGGAATCCCAGTTTAAAAACAGCTTCTTGCATTTTATATACGGTTGTAAAATATTTCTCATGTTAAAATTTGTATAATGACCTGAAATATTTCAGTGACACTAAAGCAAAACCAGAGGAAAACTATGGAGTGCAAATAGTTTTATATTGCGCTGAAAGCCTCAAACCGAATGAGAAGAATCAACGTTCAATTCTGCAGGAAATAACAAAAAAACAGACATTTACAATCATTTATTTACAGTGAATGTACACGCAAACTTAAAGACAAAAAATGGCAGAATGAGAAGCATACAAAAAGCAAAAGACATTTTGTTAAAGAAATTCATTAAACATTAAGTCAATTAACCCCAGGCTTGAGATTTACAGTAATGTAGAACGAGCTTCCCATCGCTGCCGAAACACTGGGAGAGAAAGAGAGAGAAAAATATATTTTTAACATTCAACAATGGCAGGCAGGTGAAAAGTAAAGAATCTATGAGAAGAAAATATGTGAAGCTAAAAGGAACAATCAGCATTTCCTGTGTGTTTTCTGTCACCTAATGAAGCACAGACTCGAAGGATTTAAAGCTTTGGTTCAATTGGGTTGCCTCTTCATGCGCCCTCTGCTGGTCATATCATGCAAGTGAAGTGAAATGCAGGAAGCATTGTGCCTGTATGTTTTAACACTAGAGGGCTGGAAGTTCCTTATAGGAAAGTAAATATTTACACTATCGGAAGCTGCAAATACATGGTTTTGTCATTGTTTGAGTAGTTTCCTCCCAAAAACCAAACCGCTATGACAGAAAAAGAATCTCAATAGAGTAAAATTATTTTTTGATGCTGTAATGATCTTCAGAACTACAATTAAGTATTTGACCGTGTAAAATGTTTGTTTGATTTATATAAAAACTATTAAAAAAAGTTAAAGAAAAAAGGCCCCACTTAAAACAAAAAACATTAAAGATAAAGTTTAATTGTTCATAAACTCACATCAAAGAGGACACCCACTTCTTGATCTGGTGATGGTGCAAACGACTGGTGGACATAAATAAACTGAAAAATAAAGCAGACGGCCCTCAGGCGGGACTTCACAAAACAGAGGTGGTCAATTCGTTAACATTGATATTCCAAATCTATTGATGAAAATGTGTCCTCACCAGTTGTTCATTGGCATCGAGTTTGAGGAAGCGAGAAATGAACTGAGCCAGAGACTGCACTGTCCTCCCTCTGTCCACTGCCCACTTCTTTGTCTTCATTATAGGAGCGTCTCCCACAGCCTTCAGCAATACATCAACTGCAAAAAATGGGAAAAAGAAAAAACAAAAATTGAAAACAGCTCCTATTACCACACTATCTTCCTGTGAAAAGCACTGAGAAAATTTCATTAAATCACAAGAAAAAAAGAGGAGAATAACTTAATTTCAACACCACATAGATCATGACTTTAGAACCAACAGATATACCGCCTCTGTTTTTATGCACACATTAAACATTATGACCATTAACTGCTTTTCTGACAGAAAAACTGAATCAAAAAATTACATTTTTGAGTTCTTACGATCCAAAATAAGAAAACTATTGCTTAATGCTCCTATAAAGAGTTTTTAGGCACTAATGGCCTTTATTTTTATTCTCTTTTTTTTAAGTAGGCAGAAAGGAATTGGGATTGAGAGAAAGAAGAGAAGGACATGCAGCGAGCTAGGACTCCAGCATTGGTGTGCCGTGTTTAGGAATATGGAGTAGAGTCACTGCTTAAGCCTTTACCATCTTCACACACAAGCAGGACTTTTCTAAAGCAACATCAATTGATGTGCAACTTCATCTCCAGTGGATGTGGTGAAACGATCAAAAGGTATATTTCTTCATTTTCAAAGTGGCCTTAGACACCTATTACTCATTTTTTCAATTAAGGAAACCAGGGAGAACATTTTCAAAAATTACAAATAAGACCATCAACATCTTTTGAGTGTGTTGTTTGACCAAGATGGAAAGAAGATAAATTAATATTTTATTAAAGTTGCATAAAGCTGCAAAGTTTTTGGAAGTGTTTGTGGACCTCTCTGTCAAAGTTTCACTTCTTTAAAACACTTGTTCCCCGCATTGCTCTGCCTTTAGATATGTACAAGCTTATGCAAGCCTCTTTCTGCTGCCATTAACTGACTTGCAAAGAGAAACCCTTTAACGTCAGGTTCTTTGTATTTCACAAAGAAGGGGCCTTTATGACATATTGATTTTACCTCCCAGAGATACTGTGATCATAAATTGTAGAATTCAAATTTCAAGAATTTTTTGTTTTACTTATAGCACTCAGGGGAAAATAAAAGAAAACACAAAACAGCTCTTCAGTTACATGATGTTAGTGGAGCATAAGATAATCAAATCAAAAGTTGTTCTTTCTTTTCCCCCACATCTATGCCAGAGGTCCCTGTAAAAGTGGAAAGTTGTCTTTTGAAGAGCATACCTTCAGTAAATTGGTGTAATTCTACAGCCTTACAGAAAATTACAATAATCATCTATCTCGTCTCCTTCGTTGGCTGCCATCTTTCCACATTCACCAGGTACACACTAAGAATGTGTTACAGGTCTTTGGTGGCCAGTGATTTTCTCTATGCTTAGGCAAGAGACTTAAAAGTGGACACCCATTCTCTATTCGTGGGGTGAAAGTCAACTTCTTTACAGTGGTGTAAAGGAGACAAATATTTACAGAAGCACATTTATCATTCACATGTCTAGCAATCAGAAGTTAACAACTCATCCCAATATTCTCATAATATTTAAATCATTGGAATCATTTTAATTTCTACTATTTGATGTATTTATGCAGCAAAATAAATATAATAAATTACAAAACCCCTTATTAATATCTACAAGTGACAAGAAAGAAACTGTAGACTGAAGTCTGATCTAACAGCAATATAAATTAATAAACCAAGAGCCTGAGCGTTTATATTTATTTGACGATCAGCATGTTTACAATAAAACTTCTCAGTGGAAGGTAATAAGATTAGGTGGAGCAGGTAATTTGGAAAACAATAAGAAAAAACACTTCCTCCGCTCACTAAAGATTATTTGAAAAAAGTTTACAGAACAATAGTTCAGTTTGGAAACTCCAAGGTTGCATCTGAGGCAACTTTATTCAGGTTAACCCCTGAAATCCAGAGGGAACAAATATTTTTGGGTTAATCTAATATATGGTCTATAACTGATTACCTAAAACATAAATGACCTAAAAACATGAATTGAGGCACAATTTAAAGGCATTTAAAAGGTATTATTTGGAGGCAGACCAGTAGATTGAACAGCCGATATGTTTGGCTGTTAAGTGTACTTTTTTGTATTGGCACAGGCACAGATCATTAGTCAGTGCTGCAGCCATCTGTTGAGATAATGTGAAGTGCATGTATTGTCGTTGTCTCCACTTCCTATACATTTTTAGTATTTTGTATGTATATTGTAAAAAACTCATATGTTTCAATACAGACTTGTGAAGCATTTGTTATCATTGTGTCACTTTTCACCATGTAAATAGAGGAGGAAACATAATATTCACTTCAGAAATATATATATATATATATATATATATATATATGAACCTATAAATAAATCGATTTAAAGTACACTTTTTTAACAAATAAAAGTGATTGTTTTGCGTTTTCAGTTTTTAGCAATAGCATTAGCTTTCTTCCTGAACTCATATCACGTGACTTCTTTGAAGAGTACGATTGGCCCAACAGCAGCAGCGGTGCATCATATTGGTCAAAATCACTGTCGATTTACAACCACCCCAAAGATACTTCCTTTAGCATTAGCCCAAGATGTCAAAAACAAGTCAGCAATATGACGCTCTCTTACTTTTTTTCTTCTCTTCACTAGTCGCGGAAATTTCTGACGGTGACTGTAGCTCTTCTTTTTGTGTCTCTGTTGGAGACTCTGCATTGTCAGACATCTTTAGCTGAAAAGCTCACTGCCTTCCACTCACTAAAGCTAAAAACCGACTTAAGAACAAACCGTCCTGCTATTGGAGCAAAGAGACGTAGGTGTATGCAACGCGCAATTTGATTGGCTAATGTTCTTTGGAAGGCGGGGTTTATAAAGACTCTTATTCCGGGCAAAATAATTCCGAGCTTCCAGCTTACTATCTTAATGTACTGTCTTTGTTTTTAGTAAAAAAAAAACTTTTTCCATTGTTCGGTTAGTGTTTTCTGCTGTTTTTACCCAGTCGTTTCCCCATGTTTGACTTGCAACTAATAAGTAAACATTTCTCTCCAGGACGCGTCACATGGGAAATAACTCTTTAACCTGGTAGTTGATGTTCATATTGTCCCCTTGAACCTGTCACCCATTCCTCCTGCTCACATCTGGACAACAGTAAGTTACGTTACTTTTGATAAACAACTTCTGCAAACTAGCTGCTTTTTGTTTCTTTTTTGTGTGTGTGTGGGGGGGTTGCACAGACACGGAGAAAACCTAAAGTTATATTCATTTACTTTACCAGAGCAAGAATGTGCAGTTATTTCATGGTTAATTTGTTCAGATTATGAAGTTCGACCTTGCGTTCCTCTTATGTTTGTGGTAATATCTTTCAAAACCTGAATGTGTTAGAGAAAGTACCTTGAAATTGTATTGATTATTTTTAGGCGTGAACGATTAATCGGATTCATTGTCATTTATCGATTATTGAAATAATTGTTAAATAATTTAGTAATCAATTCATCTTTAACTGGAGCTTCTAAAACCAGCCTTTGCTGACAGAACAACCAAGTTGGAGCAGTTCTACCAAAACCTAAAAATATATAAACATTTTACATTTAAGATAAAAAAAAATACTCTTGATCTGTCACTATGCTCTAATCAGAACTCCTCAAGTGGAAAGGTTTTAGTTTCACCTGGTTTAATTAAAAAAAAAAAAAAAGTCTTCTTTAAGGAAGCTTTGTCTGTTTATTATTCAATTAATAGAAAAAAAGAATGTAGAGATTAATCAATTTGTAAATTATCCCTAATTATTTGCACTTGTTGCCATATCGAAACTAGACAATTTGATATGACTTTTAGAAATTGATTTTGCAAACCAAAATCCTCCCAAACCAGAAAAGAGTGTTTTTTTTTTTTAAGATTCATGAATTTCTTCAAAATAACACAAAAACTGTGGAACAAAGCAGGCAGTTCAGGTATGGATGTGTGGAGAAGGTTGTGAAACCCCCTAATTTTGAAAAATATGGTGGTCGTAGTCTCATGGAGGATTGTTTCTCATTAGCAGGATCAGGATAAGTGAATTAACTAATGGAAGAAAATATAGTAAATTCTATAAACAAAAGTGTTACGAGCTGTAAAAGACTTGAAACTGGATGTTTGTGCTCCTCTAGGCGCACACAGCATGAGTTACAACGGAATAGTTTAGATTTTGAGGACATTTTTAATATAAACGTAAGAAAAATGTAGAAATTTTTTAACAGTATATACATTTTTGGTTAATTCATACTGTGTAAATTAGTGCAAACTTGCATGATACTAATCTGGCGCTCTGTCGATTAGCTTTAGATCGTTTAGCATAAATTGATGTAAAATGGCCTATTCACATTCCAGACCTAAATAAGATATAAGTGTAGTTGAGGGAAAAGGTGTTTTTACAAAGTATTGTCTCAGTGGGACCTTGATGTGCTCGTTGCAGTGGCGAACATCGGCAGGCTCTCCACCAAGGATGCTGTTCTCTTCCTGTGTGACATGCAGGAAAAGTTCAGACCCAACATCTTCCAGTTCACCAACATTGTCAGCAACGCAGCCAGAGTCCTTCAGGTTATTCCTAATCTATCAGCAGTTTAGCTGTGAAGTGGTAGTCACTTGTCGTGTCTAAACTCAGTCTGCGTCTGCAGGCCGGTCGTATTCTGGGAATCCCGGCCATTTTGACAGAGCAGTACCCTAAAGGTTTGGGACCCACTGTGCCGGAGCTTGGGGCCGAGGGTCTGACCGCTCATGCTAAAACCTCATTCACTATGATGATAGAGGAAGTGCAGAAGGAGTTGCAGGCCCTCGGGAGCCCTAAGCAAGCCATTCTGTGTGGGATAGAGGCACATGCCTGCATCGCGGTAAATCATATTTTTGTTTTTATGTCAAATTTGGTCTGCCAATTTTAGACCTGTTTTCACTTTAGTCAGAGTAAAGATGAGTAATTCTTCCATCCTTTCTTTTTTGCTCAGTGTACAACATATGACCTTCTTGAGAAGGGAATGGAGGTTCACATTGTGGCTGATGCTGTGTCCTCCAGAAGGTATACATCTATTTTACTTTATTCCAGTTATAGTCTGTATATTCACAGTTTACTGTAAAATTTTCATGTTTCACTTCTCAGCCAGACAGACCGGCTGTTTGCTTTGTCCCGACTGAAGCAAAGTGGAGCTTACCTTACCACCACAGAGGCCGTCCTCCTGCAGCTCGTTCAAGATGCCAAACACCCCAACTTTAAGGAGGTCCTGGTTTCTTCTGCTCTCTGTTGCCTTGTCAACGTATAATTCATTCCTCTAACACATTTAAAAACAAATGACATCCTCAATATTCTACACATTTAATTCACATATCTGGGTGTAGAACTATAAATTAAATGAATGGGGATAGTTGGTATAAAGTCCATTTAAAAAAAAAAACAACAACACACCAGTGAAAATCAAATGTCTAAGACTAAACAAAAATAATCTAAACAAATTTCCGTAAATTTCGAAAATATCCACTGGACTTGGTTTCCAAGATTTGAAGACGTTTCGCCACCTCTCCAGGAAGCTTTCTCAACTCCTAAACAAATGTTTTGACTTCCATGTAGAGGAAAATACAGTAAACTGTGAGTTTTGATTTTCACCAGAAAGGGCAGATTTATGTTAAGTTTGTACTACAGGATCTCTGAAAAAATAATTTAAATTGGTGAGTGTAGGGCTTTTAAGGGTGTTTAAATGTTAAGTCATGAAAGAAATATAAGATAAACTGCATAACTGTAGACTAGAGATTCAAATTAATCAAGTTTAAAAGACACAGGTGAGACCCCAGCTGCTTTTACTCTTATTGGATTGTAGTAAGTAGCATCCATCTTCTAATCGGACTGGGCTGTATGGCTCAGAAATCTAATCTACCATATTTATTTTTTGCTTTCTTTCCCGCCATCAAATCTAATTAATTGGTTTCCTCTCCCCTTTAGTTTCATGATTTAAATAAATACAAATGAAATATAGTGCTTTAAAAAAAAAAACTTTTATTTCAGTAATCCTCTCTGGGAGGTGAACTTAATTTAAAGGACGACGAGATACAAGCTGGGCTAAATGTTGTAAAATCATGATGTTTCACAACAAATATAGCAAGAGTAAAAGTTAGCAGCTGGTTGCATAGCTGTTAGTTAGTTTATCAGTTATGAGGAAACGCCTATGATCAAAAAAGTGATGAACTGATGTCACTCTGAGGTACAGACGCTCAAAGGGTGGATTGGTGAAAAAACAAAGTAATTTTCCAAAAATTGGTTATGTGGAGAAAGAAGGTATGTTAAAAAGTGCCAAGATGGAAAGGCATCAGCACGACCTGTAAGAACAGTTGCTACATTTGAAGGGTTGCATGGCCATTCAGTTCAATGCCCATAGTGAGATTTAACTGTGGAAAACTTTAGTTGGGGTAGAAAACATTAATAACAGGGAGATTTCTTCTGAGGAGTCTTATTTCAGACCTATAGGCCTTGTAAAGCATGTATGTTGTTAGAGTTTAGGACGGCACATTTGAAAAAATTGAAACAAGCATGACTTGAAAAAAGCATCTCTCTTAAAGAAGGCCAATGAAAACTCACATCTTTTGTTGGCAGGTGTGACCAAAGTGTATTTTTTGGCCATTTTTCAAATTGGTGTTTTTGAAAAAATCCTAACAGAATATTAGCAAAAAGCTGCAGGTATGGCGGCGACGTGATCATGGAATGTATTGCAAACACACAACCTGGGCAGTTATGGGTTCAACCATGAGCGGCTGGTTTATTCTAGAGTCGAATGACAGGTCATTGCTCTGGCAGCTAAAAACTGGTTAAAGCAACGAAACGTTATTTAAACAGAATTAGATTTTTCCAGAAGAAACTAAAAAAAACTGATAAATATCCTACAGAAAAGTACATCTATTAATTGTTGCTAAAAGTGACTGATATATATGGAAGGAATATGTTTTTACAGTGCATCATAAATGATATATGATATATTTGGTGTTTTTTGTTTGTCATTTACACTCAAGGTTGATGATTTGATTGTTTTACAACCAGGTTAAGAGGCCTGATCTTTTTATCATCCCCTGACAAGTAAACCCCTAAAACTATTGGATTTTACCAAGCTTTTTTGTATATTTAAATCGTATGCCATTTAAAAGTATAATCACTTTTGGTGTGTCTTTAGACCACATGTGTCAAACTCTGGTCCTTACGGTCTTGTATCATGTTTTGAAATAGTTTCTGAGCAGGAAGAACTTGCCCACACACTTGGATTCAGGTTTGCTGGAGGTAGACTTCCAAAAGTTGCAGGACCCCGGGCCCCAAGGACTGGATTTGACCCCCTGCTGAATATCTGACTGTTTAACCAACAACTGCTGATTTTTGTTGACAGATCCAGAAGCTCCTGTCCCAGCCATCTCCTGACACCGGCCTCCTCTCCTTCTTCAGTGCTCTGTAGAGAGATTGCCTCCTGTCATTGTGCTACACTGTATAAGCCCTCCGCTCTCACCACAGTGGCTCTAATAAAGCACGACTTTTACCTATAAACTTGACTCCTGTGGTTTTCTGTTCGCCTTGTTCTCCCCAACCCCCCCAACATGCATAGAGATGAGATATGTTGACTTAGTGTGGTGGAAAATTCACGTGTTTCTTTGCAATGCAAACCTGACAGGGCCTTGGAGGTTGGACTTTCTCCCAGAGGCGGGAGCAGAGAGTGAGCTCACACCGTGGGAGGAGGGAGTGACGTCTTTCTGGTGAAGTCAGAAAGGGAGGGGAAGGACAGAGAAAGAGAAAAAGGAAGCTCTCCGATTAGTATTTTGTGTATATTTCCATAAAGTTACAAAAAACTTTGATAAACTGAAGGTGGGATCGGATGCCTGGGCGCCAACGCCGTGCTGAGGAGAGAGATCTGAAGGTGGAGGGAAGGTGAAAGTTTGACAGCAGACGTGCACAGCTGATGACAGCATAAAATATTTAACTTTTCAAGGCCCTGGGCCTCGACTGACCACAGAAAGGTGAGAAAAGTCAGCCTGCTTCCTTTAAACAAAACAAGCAGGGTTGGAGGTGGCATACTTGCATGTTGGCGTCTTTCTTCCATGTCTTTGCTTGTTGATGGAAAGTTCCTGGAACAGCAGAGTGTGTGCTGAGTATGAGCTAAACTATTTTGTAAGAGAAGCTGGCTGGAAGTATATGAACAGAGCACTCAAGTCTGTTACGGCCGACGAGAATTTCCTCAGAGCCTAGTCACTTTGCAAAAGACTTTATAGAGCATGTTGATCCATTACTTTATGTTCTGCTTCTCCAGATCCTGGGCAGAAGAGGAAATAAGAAAAAAAAAAGATGTCTTCTGACTTGAACTCCAGTCTCACCAGCATTGACTGGCTGCCCAATCTAGGAATCAGCAGCCTGCGTTCTGGGAAAGAGAGAGGAGGGGAGAAAAAGAGAGACAAAGGGAGGGAGAGGGGGGACTTTGTACCGTCAGTGCAGAGCCCCTCTCCATCAAGCTGTAAAGGAAAACCCCCCCACAGCTACGCCACCCTCATAGCCATGGCGATAGCAGCTGCACCAGAGAGGAAGCTGAGCTTAAATGACATCTACACCTGGATAAGCAACACTTTCCCTTACTACAGCAGGGCAGGCCGAGGATGGAAGGCAAGCTGTACCAACAACATCATACTGAGGTATAACTTTGTAATAACTGTATTAGACATAACCTGATTTTAATCTTAACAGAACTCCATCAGACACAATCTGTCCCTGAACAAATGCTTCAGGAAAGTTCCTCGGCCACAGAACGACCCTGGCAAGGTGGGCTACTTCTACACTTTGATGTTGTTGCCTAATGCTTCTGATTGAAAATGCATCATACAGATAGAATACATGTTATAAAAAAAAATGAAGAAAAAGACCAAATTTCTGTATTTATTATAGGGCTCCTATTGGACAATGGATGGACCTCCAGAATCTATGAGTCCCACTAGAGCACCAAAGCGCCCCTACCCTGAGGATGAGGAGGAAGAGGAGCTTAAGCATGTAGGGTTCTAATTAATTCTTGCCGAAGTCAATTACAGGGGGATGATTTTTGTAAAGTATTTTTTTATTGGGATGTGATATAAAGCTTCCTCCACTGATTAAATGAGTTAACACTTTTTGGAGGCCCACACAAAACACTTATAAGGTATTTTTCTTTAACCAATACCTGGAATAGTGTTAAAATAATAGATATTGAATCACAAGTTATGCAGACCTATTGTTTATATATTGTTTACAAAAAAACAAACAAACCATCCTATATATATATATATATACTGTTTTTTATTTTTTTTTCTGTCATGATTTAAGGTGTTCTCTCTCTGCTCTCTGTGCTTCATTAGGTCTTTTCATGTTTCTACTGTTTTAGCTCAATCTGAGTCTGTCTATCTGTGGGGAAGCTGCACAGGTATTCAGATAAAGCAAAAAATGAAGAATGAATAAAGATGTTGTGTTGGACAGGAAGGGGTTATTTGCTTTCTTTTTATTTTGCTGAATTTTGAGGAGACAACACTGGAGAATATTTTATGCTAGAACTACGGATTAAGACCACTTTAAAAGATTTGGTTGGAATCAAAAGATGAAGAAAAGGGACATTTAACAAATATTTTTACCTGATTGTCCAAAGAGTCACACCGATTTCCTTGGGAAATCCCGATGATCACTGATTATAGAGTTGTTCATTTCTAGTTTTGTTGATTCACCTAACCAATTAAAGAAAGACTCATTCAGTTTTTCACTTTAGGCAAGAGATTTTTTTGTTGTTGTATTTTTTAAAGTCTCAATGACTAAGTGCTCAGTGGAGAGCTGCCTTAACCCAGCACGGTGTTTCATGTACTGGTTGGATGTAGCAGCTGTTTACAGATTGGGGGATTCATCTGCAGGGAATCTGGTGCTGCTGCAGTTTGCAAAGTTACCAAAGCTCTCAATTTACTGGTCTGTGTCTGTTCTGGCCCGCACCTACATTATGGGCCTGAGATATGGGTCAGGGATGCAAGTGGATGAGAGGAGATAGAGATGGCAGGGTTCAGTCTGAGAGATGGTGGTGAGCTCCATCATCTGGGAGAAGGTCGGGGTGAAGCCGCTGTACCGGTCCTGAGTGGACCCGGTATCTGATCTGAACGCCTGATGTGGTTTTTCTGGGATCTCCCACTGTGACACACTTGGGGAATTCTCATAATCCTCCAAATGTCTCTAATCTATGGGTTCATTTTAACCATAAAAAGGGGGAAAATAGTTTTGGGTTTTTTGGATGAGTTAATCCCAGATGATAAAACAACTACAACTATATATTTAATTCAAATGCCTTTTCCTCCTTTTTAAGTATGCTTTACTACCGGAACATTTCATGAGGTTTCATATCATTTTCTGTGCTTGCTTCTGTGGGAAAGACTATGTGCTAGTGAACAGGTTTTAGGGATTAGTCACCTCTTTGTGCTCTGAATTCAGAGCGTGGGTGTAGCAGGAGGTGAGCACCGACTGAACTCAACTGTTGTTGTGTTTGTCGTTTTCTTTCTGTGCATAAAGCTGCAATGCTGCATTCCTCTGGGATTCCCTCTTCTTAGAGACTATGATTTGATCCTGCGCTCTTACAGGTTCCTCCACCTGTAAAGACAGCGATGGTGAGCGGACCCTCTCCCTGCCACCAGCCTGCTTCCCATCAGGACTTGCAGTTTAATACCTCTCCGGTTGGACCAATCCAGCAGCCCCCATCACCTCCCCCACACAAGGTACGCTCACGCTACCTCTTCTCATATTACAGCCAAGTTCGGCAGGTGTTACATAAAAGTTTCATGTTCGTCTTCACAGCAACCGTCACCCTACATGTCAGCCCATGTCTCTGTTCTCCCTGCCTCTCATCTATCTGTCTCCCAATCAGCTGAGCTCCCGCCAGCGGCCCCCATGTCATCCATCAACTCTTTTCCTCCTCCTCACCCACCTAGCTCCACCTTTTCCCTTCCTGCAGCTGCTACAGCTCCTCCCTCCTATTCCAGCACTGCCATGTCCTTTCCTGCCAGCTCAAATCCTCTACCTGTTTCCACTTTTTCCTGCACTTCCAACTCGACAAACGTTTCCACATTGTCTGGTCCCAGCTCCTCCTGCACAACTGTTGCCCCCCCTACCGCTGCTTCAGGGCACTCCACTGATCCTCATCTGCGCTTCTCCTTTGAGGATTTGAACATACCAGATCTGTATGCTTCATTTAAGTCCCTCTTCAAGACGATGCGCGAGAGGGGAGGCTCCATCTGTAAGTTTGCAGGCCTGTTGCACAAACATAAAACCTGTGAGAGTCTCTGAGGAATAATTTTGTTTTCTTTTCCCTGAAGCGGACGGTGCTCTTCCTCTTGGTCCAAGTAATGACACTACACCTCTACACACTCCAACGCTGCCACCGTTCTCCCCTCACCCCCCATCTGCACTGTCTGCACCACCTGCAGCAGGTCCACGACCTGTTGCTGCTCAACCACCTGTTGCAGGTGCACCGCCTGTTGCAGGTCCACCAACTGTAGCAGGTGCAGCAGCTGTGCAAGCTCCACACCCTGCAGAGTCAGAGCGCATTTCACAACTCAGTGAGTCTCACTCCAATATCTTGACCCAGAAATGCTCTACTTGATGAACATGACAAAACCAGAGAGTATCTTCCCTTTTTAAATCTTCCCTCGCTTCTCCCCTTGCAGCGGTGCCCGCCGATTGGTTCAGTAACCCAGATTCACTGAAGGAGAGCTTCCGCATTGCCACCAATCTAGACTGGGCAAACATAGACCTCTCTAGTCACCCAGGTCTGTGCTGCTCATCTGTCTGCTTAAAAAAAAAGGGTTACTTCACCAAATATTCTAAATTTACAAAAACCCTTCCATATAACAGAAGTTTTTGGATATTTGAAATCAAATGTATTATAAACGACAGACACAACACCCTCACATAAATTAAAGCGTAATTAAAATACATATTTTACATATTAGTAATAATCACACCCTGCATCATCTTCATTTTGTTCATTATGATGATAATAGCTTACACCTAAAAAACCGTAAAAAAAAGGGAAACTAGTTCATGAGACACTCATTGAACATCTTTCACAGGTAAGTTAAATAATGAAGAAGATTTTTAAATTAGTATTTGCTCCTAAAACACCACAGTATACCAGGTATACATTAGTATACAGGTATACTAATGTAAAGGTTGGTGGAAGGAAAAACAATAGTGGAAAAAAAAGTGCTGGACAAACAACAATAATTATAGAATGGATTGAGAAGGCACCAAACTGATTCTTTCCCTGCATCAAGCCACAAAATCAGAGGTGTTTTATTTGGGCTACAGAAAGAAGAAACTGAACTGTTTTTACTTTATTTGGAAATCAAAGTCCTGGGGTCTGTTGAAGGGCAACCTGTGTAGCTTGAGGTCCACGGTAAAGTTTCCACAGTCACTGATGATTAAGGGAACCATATGATCTGCTGGCGTTGGTCCTCTGCATTTTTTGTCAACTCCAGAGTCAGTATAGCGCTTTTAGCAACATATTAGAACAAAACTACTTACATACAGTCTGTATGAAGATTCTGATTTAATTTGAATAGACAGACTTGGAACATGTCCACATGTCACGCGTCAGGCTCCATCACTGGGCTGGACTGGCCTCAGCTAAATCCTTAGAGAATCTGTGCTGTATTTACAGGACGATATGAAAGAAACCGAAATTAATTCTCACTGATGCAATGCAGCTCTGGAAATATTCTGTACACTACATGGAAATCCTCTCAGTTGGATCAAATTTCTGGATACATTTTGGATGGAATGGTTGAAATAAAACAAACTTTTTATACTATTCCATATTATTATGATGGATGTGTGAAATATTTACAATGTATGTCAAAGATTTGAAATGACTTGGCAGCTCAGTAATTTCAGTTGATTTTTCCAAATATCTGATTCTATTGGATGGTGTTGCTTTACCTTTGGCTTCATAATTAATGTTTAGTTGTGGGTTGGAATGATTTTACAAATCATGCCATCTGTTCTGCATATTATTTACATCAAAAGTGCCTAAATAGTTCAAATTGGATTTACACATTTCAGAGTATTAGTCACGTTCTTCACCCATATAGGTTTCCTATTTTTAGAAAGCAGAAGAGGAAGTAAATGGTTTTGTTGAAATCTAGCAGGATATGTGATTTTTTATTTTTTTTTTCATCTGTATGAAGGATCCCTTTAGGACATTTCTTTCATAAACAGTAAATCCAATTCTTAGATTTTGTATAAATGTTTTAGTTTTTATTAAAGATTGTTTCCTTAGTAATTTCACCACCAGCATGTGTTTAACAAAAGTACCTTTATTTTCTTTCTCAGACCTGCTGGAGAGCATGAAGCAGGCCGAGCTCTGCGACTGGGCCCTCGATCCAGGGCTCTTCACGTCCCTCTGCGATTCTCTGAACCGCTTTTTTTCCCAGAAAGGCATGATTAGCCCTGGACAGAACTCTCCAGTTACCCTCGGAGCCCCTCATTCCCTCCAGCCATCGCCGCTGACATCCAACCCACCCCCCACCCTCACCAGCCTCACTCACCCCTCTCCCCTTCCCTACCCTACCGCTCTCCCTCCCACCAATGGAACACAGCTGCCCCGGAGGCCCCCACCTATGCAGGGAACCGGCCAACAGAGGCCACATCTGACGAACCCTGCAAATGCAGCTGGTGAGTGACAGGCATTTTAAATCGACTTTAGGGGCAACGTAATGCTTTATATTCATCCTTTATTACCTTTTGTCCTCAATGTGTAATTGCTGTAAATCACTCACTAAATTGTCCTCCTTTGGCATCAAACTGCTTTATTTCAATCATTTAAACATTTATTTTTAACATCTTACTTTTTAATAAACTTATTTACATTATAAAGGTAAATGTCTTTAGCTTTTTATGTTTTACATTCTTTTTTTTATAGAATAAAATTTTTGTTTCATAAAAATCTTCCCCATTTATAATATAAGTTCTTTCTTTCAATTTATGAAAAAGATGTTTCTATGTCGTCAGTGTTTTGGCTAAGTATTTCTTTATGTCCCAGCTGCTATCAGGAATCTATAGTTTCTCCATCTTCAAGGAAAAACACACGGTTTAGTAATTAAGGGAAGTTAGTCTGTGACCGGCCAAATATTGTTATAAATATGCAAAGAATGGACACACTACACTTAGGATAATATCTCTTACCCAGCTATGCAAACTCCAATGTTGCACAAACGATAACTATGCTTTTATTTCTGTGTGCAGCTGTTTATATGATTTCCTTCTGACTTAACTTTTTATAATGATCTATGTATGTGCTTGTTAAACCCTAATATTACCTGCCTATTAAGTGTGAAGACTGTTTTCCCAAGCAGTTTATTTTATTAGGACAGCTTTTTCCGTCAAGATAAAGTTATCATTATGTACGTAGCATAGATTTGGGAATGGAATGGGAGCATTGTCCTTGATCCAAGAACACTATATTATTGATATTGTTGGAACTGTTGAAGTCTCCTCGTGTAAAATCATGTTTGATGTGATACTGGACTTGTATAAAATGCTTCTTTAACCGTTATTTGGGGCTGCTGATAACGGCGAGCCTGATGGTCCATTCTATCCGTGCAATCTCTGGTCTGAGTAAGAATACCATTCTGTAAAAGCGAGTGATCTCTGCTCAAGAAAGAAACGGGAAGACAAAAGCTTAAAGATATAAACAGAGAGCTTTCCTTTACATATCCTTAAACAACCCTTTTTATAGAGGCCATGGTTGGGTACGACAGCCATTAGCTCCGTAACATTTTGCATGAAGTTGTTTCTTTCATGAAAGATTTCTATGAAAACTTTTCTGATAAACTGCATGAGTTTTGTATTAGCTGTAAATAATATTTATTGAACAGAATCAAATAGACTTTATCAGCATGTGTTTAAGTTGGGTCATTCAGATTTCAAATTTGGCTTCTAGTTTTTTTTTTTTTTAACTGGCAGCTTATACAATTCAAAAGGAGAAGTTACTCCGAAAATATTTTACAAAATATCTCCCACTTCCATTTTGGTCTAAAACTTAATGTTTGTTTTTTTTGTCTGAGCAGGGATCCAGCCTCAGCCTGCAACGCCGCGGCAGCGTCCTCCGCTGAAGAATCTGCACAGCAACAGTGAGGAGTTCCAGGACGACTTCGACTGGGATTCCCTCATACTTTGAGACCCGCTTCCTTGTTTGGAGCACAAAAAAAAAAATCTAATATTTCAGAGAAAACTTCACTTCCTGTTTCTCTGACAGCGTGTCTGGGATCAGGTTCCTCATTAATGACTGAATCTTAAGAGTTTGATGTCTATCTTTTTAAATCTTAAGGCCGTAATATTCATTCTATAGCGTATCATTGTTGGTAACTGGCAAGATGTACGCCGTTACCAAACCTTTTTTCTCCAATATACATAAATCATGAAAGAGTCGCACACATTCCTTGTTTTCGTTTTATTTCATAAATTTCTTTAGATTTTTTTCTCTCCATTTTTCTTTTCAAATGTGAATGTTCACAGTTGACACCACACAAAAGTCAAACTTACCCAATAAAAGATACTTCTCTTGATATAAAATAAATTCATTCAGCTAAATTAAAAGAGCAGTATGGAGCACGTGTTCATGTCCCTGTTGTCTCCTTTCACTCAATGAAATAATTGTCTCTTTCAAGAAGCATCTGCTGATCTCTTTACAAAGAAAAAAAATAAGATTGGGTGTTAAACATGAGGACAGTGTTTGCTTTGAGACACCTGAATTCCAGGTATCTCAGATGAAATAGGTGATCAACAAGAAAGATTGGCAGAAAGAAATCACATGACCCATAAAACACCTCATTTAAAATACAACCTTACATATCATCACTGGTGATAATTTAAGAAATGTTTATTTTTTTTTTTTACATCGAGTCCCTGAAATGAGATCGGACACAAGGAGAAAAAGGACTAAGTACTGAAACAAACACAACCAGGCGTCTGCACGCTGATAAATACGCATCTGCGTTCTCATTCGCACAAAGCCGCAAACGCACACATTCAAGTTTTTTTTTTTTTGTTCCTGCTAAACGACCAACAAATGTCAGAGCTTTCTTTTTTTTTTCTTTAAAAAGTTTTCTACAACAGTAGGGGGAAAAAAAATAAGCATCTGATTTAGATGGCATCATTGCATGAGCTTCCTTGTTTATTTGTTCCCAGCTATTGGAAAAAAATAAAATAAATTACACTCAACATTAAGTTAAAAGTGAACTTGTTGAAACGGTTTGACCACATTGTGACCGAAATGTTAATGCAGGATTTTCAGGCTGTGAATCAGGCTGGGAGTTCCTTAAAAAAAAAAAAAAAGAAAATCATACTTTATGCACTTGTTCTGATTGAGTGATTCAGTGTTTGTCTTCGTTCTAGAAGCAGAGGGAAGAGGAAGGGCCGAGTACGACAGTTTTTCTGTACAGTTCGTTAGTTGCTGTGTGGCCTCTTCCTTCAACCCCCCCCTCGTGTGCAATAGTATGAGGAGTAGAGAGTGACGCTGCTCTCGCCATCTCTACACAGGACTGGACAGAAACAGGAAATGCAGAACAGAAGCAGACTGAAAATAAATATCTCAAATTAACAAACATTTGAAATGAAAAGAACAAAAAAGTGGAAAGTTGATTTGAAATGAAATGACAGGTTTGAAGGAAAATTAATCTAGATTTTTGTTCTTTTTAAGGTAGACATTTTTCTTTTTGGACACAAAGTGTTGAGGAGTGGGGGAGGGTGGTGAATGAAAGGGGGAAGCAGGTCCGACAGCTGAGGCAGAAAGGTGAGCAAAATAGTGGTGACGCTTTCTCAAAGCAGGAACGGGTTGGTGCTCGCTCCCGTCGTCCCTCCACCTCCAATAGATCCTCCTGCTCCCATCATTCCCCCTGCTCCTGTGGGCCCCCCCAAAATCTGCTGAGGGGGTGGCATGGCTCCGGATCCCAGAAGAGTAGGGACCGGGGGTCCCATTGGAGAGAGCCCGCTGAAGGGCATACCCATCGGGCTGGCCTGCATCATGCCCAGCCCCATCCCAGGAGCCCCCATCCCTACACTCATTGGCCCCAGGCCCATTCCTGGTTGGACCATGCCCAGCATAGGATTGGGAGGCACAGGACTAGTACGCAGGCTGCTCAGGCCTAAAGACGAGGGCTGGGGGGAGATGGAGGTCATGGGTGGGGCCACACCGAAGGGGTTTGAAGAGACTGGTGTTGGTGAAACTCCCCTGCTGGAAATAGTGCTGCCTGGGGTCACTGCCATGCCAGGTGCAGGAGACGAGCCTTAGACAAAAACAAAAAAATAACATTGGTCGGTTAAATCTCTTTAGTCTAAGAAATTCTCAATTCTTAAAATTAATGTAGTTAACAGAAATGAAGTTAATTATTAATGAAGGAGCTGACAGAATAGGGGTATACTTCAGATATAAAACAGTCTTCTCTTATATTCTTATATGTCTGCTTGGGCAAAAAAATAAGTAAAATACTTTTTATCCTACAATAATAAAATCTCATCTTTATCTACAGTTCACTCATAGAAAAAGTCTCTTAAAGAAAGAAAATAAACAAACAAGCCCTAAAAACTTATTTAATAAATACATTAATTAAAACCTAAAGTGCATATCTGCTTTACTCAAAAATTACATTAAATCTAAAAGGTATGCAAAGATATCACTAATAAGGAACACATGCTGAATTCATAAATAGCTATGTTTCTTATTTTTAAAAACCTGTTGATTGGGCTTCCTTTCGACAATATGCAACTCAGAAATCTGACATTTTTAGCACAGATGCAAACTCTGTCATGATCTGAGCAGCGATCATGACATCAGACTGAACTAGAACGTGTGTCTGGAAGGTGAGATTGGTCCTCAATTATTATCCTGGATTCACATTGAGAAACTTTTTATCTAGTTGTCTGTTACTTAATGTCTAAGAATATCTTTAGGTCATTTATCTTATTTTGCTCATTTAGAACCTCAGCTTCTAAAATGATCCAAACAGTAGGTTTTATATTTTATGTAAACTCTTTGGGTTTCTCCCGTTTCTTTACCTTAGTTGTTCTCTATGTTCATGGATGTTATGTTTAATGTTAATATAGTGAAGTTTTTAATGAACTGTAGTCTGTCTTAAACAAATCATTTAAAATACAAATCTAGTAATCATTCCCTTTCCTATTGGTGCAGTTTTATTTCTGTAAATTAACTGTATCTGGCTAAAATAGAATAATGTTGAATTTTGCTGGACAGTGGCCACTAACCCCTGAGTACAATGGGTGTGTATTTGCTGCAGAGCTGAGCTGGATGCCGTGAACTTCCTCAGTATTCTTTAGATGTGCCTGTAGTGCAAATGATATCTCACCTGTGTTCTGAAGAAAGGGGTTGTTTGATGAAGACGACGAGATGGAAGGAGGCGGCGGCTGTTTCGGTTTGGGTTTAGACGACACCAAGGAATCCAGATCGACGAGCGCTGCGTTGGGGCCGAGGAAGGACTCTGGAGTTTTACGAACAGGAAGTGAAGAGCCGAGTGACGACAAGTCAAAGGGAACCGGAGAGCCTGTGCCGTCGCATCCTGTTGTTGAAGAGCCTCTTCTCTCCGGATCCCCTGAGAGAGAGAAGGTGAAGAGGGGAGTGTGTGAATGGGACACATAACAAAAAAGCAAGCTGGAGACTTACACACAAAAGTTGATGAAATGTGAGACAAATGTTGGGTGATGTAAAATCTGGAAAACTGGAATCAGTACCTGAGTGTTTGTGGATGAATGTAGGTTTAGTTGTGAATGTACCTGTGCCATTAGTGTGTTTGGCGGTGCCACTCCAGATGTCAGAGGTGATAGGGTCAGAGGCAGGCCCATCCCTTGCCCAGGGGTCCACCGGTCCCCCGGAGGAGGATGTGCTGGGTGGCACAGGGGAGCCCCAGGGGTCGGCACTGGGTGGGGTCACAGCTACAGGGAAGGGGAGGAGAGGAGATGCAGGGGAGGGTTGGGTTAACGCAACACCTTGATGGTAGAACACAGCATGGAGGGAGATGAAAGCTGAGCTGGGTTCAAACAGAAGCACTGCTCTCTCCCTAACCTCTCCGATCCTACAAACTTCCTGAATAAGGAAGAGGAGGTCAGCTGTTCTTGCTGCTGCTTATCATGACAATTTAACTCCATAGAAGCTCTGTAGAGGTGAGGGAGAGATGGCTGGAAGAAACCTCAAATTTTTACAAAGCCAAAAATGGAAAAGGGCAACAGAAGAGACAATGTGAGAGACAAACAGCCCTGAACGGAAACAAGAGGATAAAAATCCCTGGTTTAGACACAGATGGAGGAAGGATTTAGCATGCCTTCTTTCCTTCACACAAAATGAAAGCATGTAGGGGCCGTTCAACCAAATATACCCTGAACATCAAAATTCAACACAGGCCTAACATCCAGGGTAAATTGGACAAACGTTCAGCTTAGAAGAGTTAGTCCTCCACATAACCATGGGACTACATGCTGCACAGAGCAGCATTGGAACAAACTACAGTCATTTAGAAAGGTTAGCTTCAGTGGGCAAAACAACGAAGCTTCTAATATGGCTACATTTTTATTATCTTATATCAATTTTTAGGCTGATGATTCTGAGCTATATTTATATATAGACCATGACTGCATGCAAGTCTTGATAAATAACAAAAACCTGGATAAAAGCTGCGTAAGATGAACAACAACTGCTATAAATCTATCAAATTAAATCAGTTAATCTTTTTGCTAAAAGGAGCATTTAAATTTTCAGTAAACTTGCAGAGCTCGGAAATCGGCCGATTATTATGTGATAGCCCTGACCAGTGACCAGCCAGTCGTTAAGAACAGTCGTGCTGTTGATGAATTTTCTTTTTAGCAGACACATCTTCCTCCTACGCTTGGTCCATTCAGGGTGAGAACATGGAGAGGGAGCACTACATCCGCTCTACTCTACCCGTATCTCCTGTTTGGTACCTTACCGGCTTGTTTTGTTTGTATGACTGCGATTGCGGAAAACAACTCGTGAAGATGGACCAGCTAGAGGAGCAAGGTGCCTGAGAACGCTGGGACCCTTTTTTCACCTAGATCCCCGCTCTTTTTCCACGATGAAGACGATGAACACGTCCCCCCCCCCCCCCCCCCCCCCCCCCACACTTCTCCTAGGATGATCAAACAAAATTACTCCTCTGCCATGGCGTAGTAATATAACCAACCAGAGGGTATCGCAATTCAGTATTATCAGCCGTAGAGTTATCAATGCTGTTTTAAGGTCTGGGCCTGGCAATGAATTAAAATTTTTGGAACATTAGCGAGGCGGTAGCGTGAGTTTGGAGCCAAGATAGTGCTGCGGGAAACACTGCAATACTAACATTACATTATCACACCGTACTCTCAGTCACTCAGTAACTTAGCCTGTGAATTCCTAGCTAGCAGTTACTAGCGTAAACAAATAGGCGCTAACGTTAACGTTTACTAGGCTACTTCAGTTGGCTTACTTAAAAGTCTATGACTTGCCCTTCATGTGACTCGACAGCGCAGACTCGCCCATTGTGAAAAGCTGCACATCTTTTTTGCAGACTTTACAAGAGGCAACTCGTGGGGGTTGTTCCCGTTTAATCCATAATTTGTATTTTGCATCTTCCAGCCAACATTCATTGAAACGACAACCTCCCGGCACGGTGCAGTAGTGGTTTCATGGGGACGGAGTCACACATGGAAATAGAGTGGCAGATCGCAGTCACACATAAGCGAGCAGGTTTCATTTTCGTGCTCTCCAACATTTTATTTCTCCATTTAATAAACACACGATTCAGTTAGATAGGTATTTGTTGCGAAAGAAATAGTTAGAATTTCAAGCATTTTCTAGCATATCATCCAAAATATAAGCACTTTTCAAACCTCAAAAACACAACGTCAAAATTTAAGCGTTTTCAAGGATTTCCAGCACCCGTACGAACCCTGTTTTTATAAGCCACCTAAAACCTGTTAAGAGGATTCCTGATTCATGATTTATCAACATTATCTTCTCCATCTTTCATTTTTGGTGTGAAAGCTTGTCTCCGCTGCCTCCTTTACTAAAACAGTGGTCCATTCATGATATTTTCTAATCTCCTATAATTTTGATTCCTAAAAATAAAAATGTCAATGTACCCGAGACAGCAGTTGAAGAATTTATGGATTTAATGTTGCTATCGTCCATCAGCAGATATCGATTTTCTTTGATTGCCCCAAAAATCCTGATTGGTGCAAGTCTACTTTTTATAGGTTTGGCATTAAATCTATTACAGGTTATAACTATCCGAGTTTTAAGTTATTTCACGTGAGCTTCGGAATCCTAACTTCCAAGGAATACCTTTGTCCGATTTAATGTTTTTATTCTCTTAATCTAAAGCTACTGAGATTTGTCTCCCAAGCAGATTGAAGTTACATTAATGGATTGGTCATTTGCATTTACAATGTTTCCTTTGGATAAAAATGTTTTGGAAGACTTCCCATTAAGAGACATTATAACCTGTAATTGAGATGCCTGAGGCAGAAAGTAAGAAACCAAATGCTGAGACAATTTAACCAATTAGAAATGTTTAGGACCCCTCCACCTTAAAGTCCCACCCTGAGGCTTCAACACAGTCTTAAAACTGACTACACCTCAATGGACTGTTTAACTTGATGTTCCCACGCAGATTAAATAAGAGGCAGAGGGAAGGACACCACATAAAGACATTGGTCCTTGGAAATGGTTCCTGTGGCTGAATTTACCCTTAGATAGATGACAAGATAATGACATGACTGGATGCCAATACACACGGTTTTGAAAAGAGATCATAGAGTTTCGAATGACAATAAGCAAAGGTCTTGGGTATTCACATCCTCTTTCAGCAAGAAACAGACTTCTGTTTGACGGTTTGACGTCCATCTGTTCAACTACTGAGCAGATCTGACAACAAACTAGAGCTGCGGCAGCTTACCTGAGTTTCCCCAGGGGTCGACGTTGTTAACTTTATGGGACGACTCCCCCCAGGGGTCAGGAGGTGGAGCTATAGAGGGTGCAGCTCCTCCACCCCAGGGGTCAGTGCTTGTAGGGGATGTGGGTGAAGCTACTCCCCATGGATCTGTGGGAGCTGCACCCCATGGACCAGAGGCTGAGGGGCCGGAAAGTGTGAGAGGCGGTGAAGGGCCAGCAGAGCTCACAGTGGCATTAGCTGGAGCTCCCCAGGGGTCCACTGCACTCAGCTCCATTAGAGAACCCTGAACAACAAAAAGAAAATAGATTAGTGGTATTATTATTACTATGTTGCTCAGGTTAATGCTGAAAATGTGGCTTACAACAAGTTTATCTCAGTAGTTTTGTCCAACCTAACAACCAACTCGGAATAAGGCCCTTTAGGCTAAACAAGATTTGATGATGATTATTTTTAAAAAGTATAAGGTATCAAAAATGTATGAACTACACAGAGTTTGGCAACTTCTGACCTTTGATTTGACAGCAGATTTTGTACTTCTTCTAGTTGTTATGAAACAATTAGATAGCTAAGACCTGCCTAAGTGTTTTCCCACAAGAGCTGTGAATCTCCTGAAGTTCTTCAGAGTCATCATGGGCCTCTAGGTCGCTTCTTAGATTAAAACCTTTGCCCTTTTCAATTTAGCTTACCTAGAATGTGTTTGTGGTTTCTAGTTGTGCTTTCCTCCTGATAAAATAGACCTAGCAGACCACTGATGTGTGTAAAAGTGTGTGATATTGTTTTACAATGTTAGCCAGCACTAAATATCTCTACAATGTTATCCCTGATTTGTCTGCTGTGTTTCTTGCTCTTTATATAGCAGTTTGTTCACTGATGATTTTAACAAACCTTTGAGATATACATAAACGCACTCTTCGGAATACTCCAGGTAATAACTATGCTATGAATTATAATTAATAAATCACAGCTAATATCATGAATTGATTCAACTCAGGTTAAAACTATACTTAGCAGCATATCGCCATGTTAACTCAGACCTCTTCTGGTTTTGGTTTCTCCCTCTTGCTCTCCTCTATGGCCATCTGCAGTCTCAGGTCATCACCTCTCCGAAGCCTCTCCTCCTGCCAATCACAGGCTAATGTTAGAAACTGAAATAACAAATCAGATCAAATAACAGATCAGTTTACAATAAAAAAAAATTGAAAAAAAGAAATTTGAACTTATGTAAAGAAATCCTAAGCAAACAACCCAATGGTGCCTCCATCTCATGAGCATCAAAATCATAAAAACGATTAAGACGCAGAAGTAATCTACAGACTATTTTAGACATCTTATTAGATGCAGCTAGTTTTATAAGAATATGTCAACTTCAGTACAGTTATAGGATAAGATAGACTTTATTAATCTCACAGTGGATATTTTTCACCATCATTATACTTGTGCTGCACTTGGTCAGGGACTGACTGTACAAAGTAGAGTCTAAAAGATTCAGGCTATCAGCTCACAGAAGAAAAACGTGAAAATGTAACCATTATCATTCAATAACAATCTAGATACATTTCTACCTAATGCCATCTTTCCAGCCACTGCATTACATGGTTGGCTGAATATCAGTGAAACCAAGAAATACCCTTAATAATGTAAATATCTCAAAAAGCAATGTAAGGCTTTTATAAATCCATTGGAGTATCTTTATACTTTACCCACTCTAAGAGATCAGACATTGTTGTTGCACAAAAAAAACAAACTCAAAGAGAAATTAACAACCTAGAAAAAGTGTAGCGAGACATAAGCTTTGTTTCAAATCAGTCCAACAGTTAGATACATGCTGTCACAGAGGGCAAGAGGGAAGAAAGAGTAATCAACTTAAAACCCACTCATAGGTTATATCATTTGTGTCTGTCATGCACATTTATTACTTTGATCACTGTTGATCAATGATTTAAAAGTCGATATTTGATATGCAGAGCTGTGAAAAGAAGTTTGTCCTTCAGAGATTTCCTCTTGTTTGTCACATTTAAATGTTTCAGATCGAGTTTATTTTAACATTGAAGCAGTAAAAACAGGACACAATTTTAAACAGTTAAAGAGCAAAATATTCTATCCACACCAGTCAGGTATTTTGTGTAAATATACGCCTCTTCTCTTTTTTGGAATATGAATTAAGTGATTAATCACCATTTTAACTTCAATAGGACGAGCTACATCTAGGCCTTAATAAAGCCTGTCCATTAGAAAGGTCAGGAAGTCACTTTAAGTGAATCTGTCTAACAACACGAAGTAGACCAAATTATGTTAATCTGTAAGTTGTCAATCCTTGTTAGAATTTTAAAACAGTAAGAAACAAAACTCCCAGATATCTTCTGGGGGGGTAACCAGTCTCCTCATTCAGGAGTATTGAAAATAACCCTGAACAACATCTAAAACACTGCAGGCCTAAATCGCTTAAGTTAAGGTCAGAATTCAGCACAATAAAAACAGTTCTAAGGTTAAAGCTAGTGGTGATCAAAATAACAAAGGCCCATCTCGCTGCATATACTGAGGCAAAAACTTTTATTGGCTTTCGAGGCGTTTACTTTTCCTCATAGGGCCAGGATGGTGTTTTTTTGCCTTCTCCCATTGCTAATCTTTAACATAAATTTGAAACTGGATTTTCCATTTATTTGAGTCTAATTTAAAATTTGTTTGAAACATTTAAGTGTAACAAAAAAAAGCAATAAAAGGGACAATATTTAAGGTTCAATCACACAGCACTGAATGCATTTGATGGATGAAATCAGGTATCTTCATGTGTTCTGTGAGTCCAAGCAATTTAAAAGAAACAGCAATAAAATGCAAACTCAATCACCTCACTAGAATTATAATGGTCTGATTGAAAAATATTCAGGCAGGAAAATGCCAAAAATCATATTAGCATCAATTAATCAGTATTTAGTTTTGAGTCAAAATTTTTGATGACAGAAAGACAAATAGTTGATGATTGGCCTTCCACTCATTCTCTACCCCCTGACCTGTTGTTGCATCTCTTTGCTGAGAGTGATAGCATAGCGAAGCTCTGCATCCTCCAGAGGGTCCGCGTTAGTCTGAGGGAGGTCAGCAGTTAAATAGTGAGAGCAAAGCTATGTATACTGTTAAAGGAAATAAGATCCTTAATATTCCTCTGTGAATACTGCTCATCCTTAAATGTGACCGGAACCAAAAAAAAAGCACAACATAAAGTACCCCTTCTGGCCAGGATGGATCCATTCATTTACCTGCTCTGCCTCTTCTTTACTCATGGCCAATGCCAACTGAAGCTGTAGGTCTTCCTCTCCAGTGCTTTGAGGCCATGCCTGGTCAGGATCTCCAGAATGCGAGCCCATAGATATGCTGCCCCCTAGGCTGGGTGCTGAGGGGGCTGAGGAGGCTGCAGCACAGACAACTAATCATGAATAAAACAAACCCCTGTTCTGAGACGGACGTATCGGCGTCTGTTCTCAGTTATCTCACCACTGGTGGTCTGTGCCATTTTCTCTTTGGTTTTAAGGGCATGGATCCTCTCTTCTCTGAGTTTTTCTTCATCTTTTAACAAGGTCACCAGCTGTTTAGCCTTCTCCCTTACATTCAGACCCTGGACGCAAAAAAGAGTAAAAAAAATATGACAGGTTTTAAATAATTTTACACAGTGTTTTTCAGGTAAATTGGACAATAGTCATGCAAGCACAAAACATAGATTAATAACATTTTGAGACTTTTCTTGCCTAGGACAGGAAGACTGTAAGGGTTCATGTCTTGAGCTACAAACTAGGCAGTCATGGAGGAAAACCAGTGAGATGCTTTTAAAACTATAAGACTGGGGCACAGGTTCTTATTTTAGCAGCATAACCACCCTAAATATTCACCTAATGGTTCAGATCAGAGTATAGTATTTAGTGAAATGCCAACGTCAAAGTTCTGTCCAAAATAAACGTAGGATTTTCATTAAGTCAAATTAAATTAATCAAAATATGCATTTGTCATGCATCCAAATTTAATGGTCCAATCTTGAATTCACGTTTTTGTCAGAGGGAAGTTGTCATATTTACAAATCCATTGTACATGAATATAAGTTAAACAATTTGAAGACCACTGATGTTCTTCCTCGTACCTCACAGTTATGCAATCAACTGTGTTCGTCTGTTACTATTGTAAAAAAAAAAAAACTACATAAATGGTGGGCAGGTAGAGACCTTTTGCTTAGTACATTGGCGACACTGTAAACTGTGTTGTTAGTGTAATAACTCATTAACTTCACTAAATAATTTATTACCAACATCTGGCTGTATCAGGTTGTGTAAGAGGTCAGAAACACTTTAATGCAAATTGTCCTTTAATGAATCAAGAGGCAAGTCAATGTTTGCCTACATTCAACAAAAGGACATCAAATTGGTCAAACATGTCAACTTTCTTTTCAGGTTTGGAAAAACAAAACAAAAAACACGGTCTTGTTTGGTTACCTGGTCTTTGCCGTCCCGGTCTATGTACTGGAAATCCTTCAGGGTCTGGACTGCATAAATGTTTTCTCGACACTGCTGGGCGACACGCTCTGAACCCGTCTTGATCAGATACTCCATAAGAGTCATAGCCTGACAGATGATAAAAAAAAAGCCATTAAGATCACCTGATGAACTTTCTCCAGAAAGAGAACGAGTAGAAACTAAAACAGGTGCTTTATTCTCAGATAATACCTCATATCTCTAAACACTTTTTGGTAAGTTAGAAAAAAGTGGAAAGCCAAAATTAAGATACATCAGGAGGAAAAAGCATATTTGATAAACTTTATGTTTAAAGGTGAAGGCATTTGAGGACATCCAAATGGTATCTTCAATAAATAAAAAAAAACAAAAGTATGACAGTAGAAAGTACCATCATATTTTGCCAAAGCTATATTCTAAATTCTTAAAGGTATAGTGGAGGATGTTCTTTTTTTGGGTGGATCATCATAATAAGTGGTCCTCCTAATTGTCAATCATCCTGGTAATATGTTTCTGTAAGGCCGCCCTATGTGCTTGTCCCCATTTTCACTTACTGGTGGCGAGTCTGACATAGTGGGAAAATTGAAGGTCTTTTGGAAAGTAAGCTGTATGAGCAAACAGAGTGTGCATGAGGAGAAATTGGCTTGTGCATGCTCTTGCATGTGTTTAATAGGCATTCCTTCCTGGGAGCGGATACAGGGTTGTGCATGTGCACATTTTTTTTTTTTAAGTGGAGAGGGCGAGTCTTTTAAAAAAAATCTAGAAAATCCTTCAATATACCTTTAAAGAAACAAAACATTATATTATAGGATCCCAATGAACCTAAAAGTATCCAGTCCTGCTTTGCACAGGTTTCCATATAATTTAATTCAAGTATTAAGTATATTACAAATATGCAAAAGCATGCTATGCAAATTTTGACATTTTGATATTAACTTGTACATTTTGGTAAATTTACATTTTCTTTATAACCATAGTTTTCTTACCATGTGAATTTAACATCACTCAACATTCAGTCTATTTTACATTCCATTTTTATGTCTTATTTTTTATGTGCACCTGCATGCTCTTTTGTTGTTCTCCCATATAGTCACACAAATGAAATCCCCCACTGAGGGACAAATAGGAGCATTTTAATCTATTCTACCCCATGACTAAAAAGCTGTAATGTTTGGTGAGAAAAGATGAAATGCTATAATACAATTAGGTGTTTAAAACAAAGAGATGTTGATTGAGGCTTTAACAGAGCAGGAGCGAGCCAAACCTTTGGTAAAAAGGAAGAAAACAGAGCTGATTGTACCAAAGTTGTTTCATTTAATCCTTTGGACAAACAAAAACACATTTCGAGAGCTGTTTATATAGCTTCCTGTGACAAACCCAAAGTAGATCAGATCAGTACAAACAAGTGAAAGTTTAGAGCTCATTGAAAGTTAATGGGGATGATCACATTCAAACCGATTTTACGCAGGGGGGGGGGGGGGGGGGGGGGGGGGGGCTTCCTGCTGTGTTTGTTGCTGTGAAGTAGATGTTAGATTCCAGACTTTTTAAGACTTTTCAATGCCACTTCAAATAAAAAGTTAAGACCAACTCCACAATACACAAGAAAAACCTCGTTGTGACAGATTTACCCAAAATGTTTATTTTAACATAAACCATTACTTTCAGGCCCAGTAGAAATTTTTCAAATTTTGAAAAAAATTTCTTATGGAAATAAAAGTAAAAACGCTCAAATAAAGACATATTTTTAACAACTACTGATCTGAATTGTTTTGTTTTGTTCCCTACTAAAAGTCCACAATACCCCTGCTCTCATTGTATCACCATCTTATTGTAGGCGTACCACCAAACATTATCCAGAGAACTGGTGCCTCTCGTGCTGTTGATAATGTCTGAGATGGCTGTGAGGCATTGCAGAGAGAAGGGTTGAACAGAATGGAGAAATAACTGCTGCTTCTCTGTAACTTGAGTTTGACGCTTTGTTTCACGCTTTGCATGTGTGACTTCACTGCATTGACTCCTGTTGTGTTGAGCTTAAATGATTTCTTGCACAAAATACACCGTGCCTCATATACATTCAGTGGAGCTGGTTTAAGACAGGCTTACACAATGCGATTTTTCAGCCTGATCATATGTCGTGTAGTGTACAAGGGGTTACGAGGGGCAACCAGCCTCTCACGACCACCTCCCGATCAAGAATCGTGAGGTCGGGAGCAAATCAAACGTTTTTGATTTTCAGTCAACCGTCGTGGGCAAATCACTCAGTGGGCAAGCGCAAACCAGGATTCTTCTTCTTCGTCCTCCTTTCAGATGAAAACACTGAAGCATGGCCGGGGTGTGGGTGAAATGGAGTTCTTTCTGTAAAATTGACAGACCGTAGTAGCCACTTTTGCTCAGCCAAGTCTTTGTCCAAATACGTCGCCGCATTTTCTTCTCAGGTCTTTCAGCGCACAAATTGCCAAGGCACCACGGTTAACTCTAATGAGCTTGATATTCCTCTTTACTACTTGGCTTTCGGATAGACGTGTCAGAGTAGCTCCATCTCACTGTGGAACTGTGAACTCAACTGTGAACTCACACTGTAAGACGAAACCGCAGGGTTTCGTCTTACAGTTTGAGCAGTGTGAGCTGCAGCTGCGTAGAACGATTGAAAAAATAAATAAATAAATCGCATGCTCGGCTTTAGCCATGCAGAAAATGTTAAAATGTTAGTGGCGCATCATCCTAAGGTCCGGTCGCAACATCCTTTTTATTTTTTCCACTAATGGCATGAAACTAATAATGGTTAAAACGAGCCATTCCGTTCATGTAAAAAAAAAAAATTATTGTTAATTATTTTGATGTTTTATATATTAATAGTTTCAAGGCCTATGAAATACTGATTTAAGACATTTTAATACCAATTAAGACCTTTGTTTTATATTGAAGAATTCAATACCTTTTAAGACTTTAAGGATCCACAGGAACCCTGTTTTAATATTACCCTGACGTAGTCCTACTCAATTCTAGTCAGAATATGAGTCTGATACTGCTCCATAGAGCTGCGATTATGGGGCGTGTTTTGAACGAACCCGGGAAAAAAATGCCTCTGCACTCAATTGGATAGACCTGCAACCAATAAGAGCAACGGAGTGCGTGACGTATGTTAAGCGACGCATAGTTGTTGTCAACAAAAATCAAAGCGTGCAGTTGCACACCTATAATAAGAAGATGAGCCTTGATCGCGTTTCTCTGTTCCTCTTTTAAAATTAATTTGCTGTCAATATCTTCTAGAACAGACCTAATAGCAGAATCTACACACCTCAACTCTCCAGCGGCAGCCATTGTTGTTGTCACCCAAGCGCGCTTTGGTCACGTGGTTGATTATGTTACTGTTGATCATCTGTCCATCATCGTATAAAGCCCGCCCTGACAATTTGATTGGCCCGCCAGATATTGTGCTAGCATACTCGCGCTACTGTTGAGCAATGCCAGACCGAACTTCCCGACCTCAAACGTTGTGGGCGGGACTAAGTTCGGAATGGCACCCAGGCTATTTTAATATAGCCATATGAACATTCTCTATGTAATCTGATATGAGATGCTGCACAGACTTGGTTTCATTTATATAATGCGCCAGTGTGTTTTTTTTATTTTTTTTATGACTTTTCTTAATCTGTCCAAGTCAAACGTGGGAAATTGTTTTAATTTGTGTAGCACAGAGACCAAAGTGAAAAAAAAATTGCGCAGATCTGCCCACCCTGCCTTGTTGTAAGGCAAGCCAAGGCAAATGTATTTGTATAGCACAATTCAGTACAAAGACAATGCAAAGTGCTTTACATGATTAAAATATAGGAAAATAAAACAGAATCAAAGCAAGTAAGAATAAAATAAGAAAAAATAAAATAAAATATAAAAAAAGCAGCCTCTCTGTGTGACATGGGAAAAAAATTGAATTGGGAGATTAAAGTCCTACGCAACTGGTGTGTTCTGGTCTTTAGTGTTTTCACTTTTCAACAGGCCCATACAACTGAAACAGAGCGCACCATTTATGCACCTATCTCTAAGGATGGTCAATAGAGTAATGATATAGCTCAGTTTGCGAGGGGCTACGGGCATAACTCACACAACAATCAATTGATAGGTGGACAGAATACTGTCAGTCTCTGACAATATGACACTAGTCAAGGGATTTGGTTTAACCCTTGCATATCCAATGGCAGAGAGACTTGATTTCAAACACTTCTGAACCGTAGCCACCTGGACAGTATTGCTCAAACTAAGCAAAAGCTACATACCTTGTAAACATGTCTCCAGTTCTTTCCATGGTCGTTCAGTCGTTTCCAAACCATGCTCATGATTTCTGAGAAAGCCACAACATTGTAGGTCAGATCTGCTATCTCTGACATGAGAGAGCTGCTGGGGCCCCATGGGTCATTGGACGTTGCCTCTCTAACCTGAAAAACAGAACAATAGGAGGTAAATCTTTAGCGACCTTCACTCAAATGTCTGATCCATGAATTTTGTATTTATATTATATGCAGTATAAAAAAAATATACACAAAAAAAAAATGAGAAGAGTATAACCTTGATTTCAGCCTCTGAATAGTTGTGGACGATGTTCTTTACTTGTCGCCGCAGCGAAGAGGTCGACATGGCAACTTTCTAGCCGCAGACTTCTGGATCAATCTGCACAGATACATCCAGGATTTAAAATATAAAGGAAACTTAAACAAGTGAAAGAGGTAGGGACATGGGCAGAACTTCAGATGGGCATATTCAAAGAAAAGTAGAGATTTGTATTAGACTTTCTTTTAGTTTATGACGTTAACATAACAAACGGCGACATACATCTGTTACTCAAGTATGAAAGAAAGGGTGTTCCTCTTGGTAAACCTCTGTTTCTTAACCTCGTCCACCACTCATTCATGGAGAGTTTTGTCTCGGTTTATCTTTTTCTTCCCGTGGCAACATTTGGTCTGAGAACCAAAGACGGTGGACGATGGAAACTGCAGAAAGAGATGGAGAACAAAAAAAGTTTAAAAAAAACAAAAAGACCCTAGATATATACACAGGACAAACAGTATTAAAACCACCTTAAAATACCCACTTAAGAATACAAAGCACATAGTCAGCTTGAAATATCACATGATGTGTTCCTGACCCCCACATGGTCAACAGAGAAAGAAGGATTTCTTATATTCTGTTTCAGATGAGGAGATAAATGTCTTAATTGTCAGCCACACAAACAGGAAAGTCACAAGGTTTCAGTTAACATGAAGTGGAAACTGACACGGAGAGATAACATTTACTGAAGTAGTTGCTTACAGATTTCTCTCAACTATTGACTATTTGAGAAAAAACATAAAACAAGCTAATTATATTTCAGTAGGGAAAGCAAATCAAAAGAAAATACATTACCATGATTTTTGCTAGAAATCTCCACACAGCTGTATAAATTCAATGCCTATTTCTACATATTCCACACATACCAATAATTAAAACCATTACATTGCCACCTGGTGGTTGGGTGTTCCAATTTACCCCACCATTCATAAACCAGGTACTTCAGACCAGGTTAGAGATATTTATGAAAGCTACATAGGCATTCAGAGCTCAATTAACTGTATAGCCATTAAAACTGGTATACAATATATTTTTTAACTGTAGATAGATTCAATCTGTAAGGGATTAAAAGTATTTAGAGGTGTAGTTGTTCACTCCTTGTACAGTGTTATGTAGTAAAACTATATAACTACATAACACTGTGGGCTTCAGTCAGTCTGATAAGTACAGGTGCTGGTCATAAAATTAGAATATCATGAAAAAGTAGATTGATTTCAGTAATTCCATTTAAAAAGTGAAACTTGTATATTATATTCATACATTACATACAAACTCATATATTTCAGATGTTTATTTTGTTTAATTTTGATGATTACAAATGACAACAAATGAAAATCTCAAATTCATCATATCAGAAAATTAGAATATTGTGAAAAGGTTCAAAATTGATGGCCCCTGGTGCCACACTCTAATCAGCTAATTAACTCAAACCACCTGCAAAAGCCTTTAAATGGTCTTTCAGTCTAGTTCTATAGGCTACACAATCATGGGGAAGACTGCTGACTTGACAGTTGTCCAAAAGACGACCATCGACACCTTGCACAAGGAGGGCAAGACACAAAAGGTCATCGCTAAAGAGGCTGGCTGTTCACAGAGCTCAGTGTCCAAGCACATTAATAGAGAGGCGAAGGGAAGGAAAAGATGTGGTCGAAAAAAGTGTACAAGCAAGAGAGATAACCGCACCCTGGAGAGGATTGTGAAACAAACCCCATTCAAAAATGTGGGGGAGATTCACAAAGAGTGGACTGCAGCTGGAGTGAGTGCTTCAAGAACCACCACACACAGACGTATGAAAGACATAGGTTTCTGCTGTCGCATTCCTTGTGTCAAGCCACTCTTGAACCACAGACAGCGTCAGAAGCGTCTTGCCTGGGCTAAAGAGAAACAGGACTGGACTGCTGGTGAGTGGTCCAAAGTCATGTTCTCTGATGAAAGTAAATTTTGCATTTCCTTTGGAAATCAAGGTCCCAGAGTCTGGAGGAAAAGAAGAGAGGCACTTCATCCACGTTGCTTGAAGTCCAGTGTAAAGTTTCCACAGTCAGTGATGGTTTGGGGTGCCATGTCATCTGCTGGTGTTGGTCCATTGTGTTTTCTGAGGTCCAGGGTCAACACAGCCACATACCAGGAAGTTTTAGAGCACTTCATGCTTCCTGCATCTGACCAACTTTTTGGAGATGCAGATTTCATTTTCCAACAGGACTTGGCACCTGCACACAGTGCCAAAGCTACCAGTACCTGGTTGAAGGACCATGGTATCCCTGTTCTTAATTGGCCAGCAAACTCTCCTGACCTTAACCCCATAGAAAATCTATGGGGTATTGTGAAGAAGAAGATGCAATACACCAGACCCAACAATTCAGAAGAGCTAAAAGCCACTATTAGAGCAACCTGGGCTATCATAACACCTGAGCAGTGCCACAGACTGATCGACTCCATGCCACGCCGCATTGCTGCAGTAATACAGGCCAAAGGAGGCCCAACTAAATACTGAGTGCTGTACATGCTCATACTTTTCATGTTCATACTTTTCAGTTGGCCAACATTTCTATAAATCCTTTGTTTTTATTGGTCTTCAGTAATATTCTAATTTTCTGATATGATGAATTTGAGATTTTCATTTGTTGTCATTTGTAATCATCAAAATTAAACAAAATAAACATCTGAAATATATGAGTTTGTATGTAATGTATGAATATAATATACAAGTTTCACTTTTTAAATGGAATTACTGAAATCAATCTACTTTTTCATGATATTCTAATTTTATGACCAGCACCTGTATCTGAACTTTGAACGCTGTTGCCAAGTCCATGTATCTATTTATTTAACAACAGGTAATAATACTCCTTATCACTGCATCCCCTGCAAATGGCCAGAAACCAATGTACCTCAAGGAAGAGAGCACATTTAGACAGAGAAATGGAAACCAGAAAACAAGAGGATGTATTCTTCTGGGATTGTAGGTAATTAATAGTGAAGGGATTGACAAGTGGTGCAGAACTGTTAAAAATGATTCAAGATTAAATATTTTTATAAGCATAAATTGTAAAGAGCAGCATACATTTGCACAAAGAGCCAGACTGATTGGCGTTTTTTCAAAGCTATACAATAAAATTTCAGTTTGTTTATTGCAGAAAACGTATGCCCCGTCAGAATAAAAAGGCTGAATAAATCAGAAAGAGCTTTCAAACAATACTACAGCTACTCAATACGGTTTAGATCTAGTTTTGACAGGGTTATTGTAACCTACAACGATGCTTGGATCTAAACCATTCTTCTGGTCTAACTGTACATTAATGGTTGCTCTCTTGCAGTGAGGTAATCCTTGCTCCCATTGTCAATATTTCCCCATCTGCTAATGGATAGTTTTCCTGACTTGCTCAATATTTTGTTCGTCCACTTTTCTCATTATAACTGACAAGTATTCTGTCATTGGAAAAATCGAGTCCTTCCCCCAGCATGATGCTTCTACCACTATGTGCACAGTTATAGTTTTTTTTTTGCCACACACAATATTTTCAGTGTAGATCAGAAATTTACTGAAGTTCCTTTGGTTGATTTTTTTTTCTCCCCTCCCCTGTTATACTTGCAGTAGAGATTATTAGGGCTTCATAAATTTAAAGCTGTGTTACAAACCTTCCTCCATCAGAATAGAGGGGAAACAATGCTCTTTGAGCTTGGTATATTATTCTATAACCAGTTTAAATGGTAATCCCTAATTTATCTGGGGACCACCTCTTTTTTTAATCAAGACATTAATTTACTAATGTATCCTACTAAGCGTCAGAGCCTCCACAGGACATCTCCATTTGCGCTGAGATTAAATACATCCAGTTGGGATCTTTTTTATAAATGGGTAAATCATAAAGAATTGACGTGACACCAACTTAGGAATTGCTGCACCTTAATGGAAATACAAGCTAGTGAAAACCAAACTACCACAAACTAGTTTTTACAGATCCAGAACGAAGCACAATGTCCCCAGATACCTTTAATAAGGCCTATTGTCTGATAAGAAAACATTAAGGCAATTGGCATTTTCTTTCCACATCAAGTCAATAAAGGTATTCCAAAGCAAACACTTTCCATAAACAAAGACGGAATAATAATGAATGCGGTCAAATTGGTTCTGAGTGAAGTTGTGTCCAACCCCTTTTACATTTACAAAAGCAGGGGAGTGAATATAGTGCATAAACAAGAGGAGGGTGAAAATAAAACATGTTTTGATCACATATATAATCAGACTATGTCAGTATTTGCTTTGCTTTCCATATAGTAAATTACCCCACATGTTCGCAATTAACTACACAATGGAGCTTAACATAAGCAAACAATGTTATGATGACAAAAGCTGAAGAATTGTTTATCTTCATACAGATGAACAACTGATACTTGCCGTTAATAACCCTCCTGTTGAGCTGCTCATGCTGTTGATATTAAAAATTTTGAACGACTTCTTTCTGAAGCAGAATTAAATGTGTTCCACCCTCCAAATATTTTGGCTAATGTGTCTCTGATCTGACAACATTAAGCCTTTATTACATAATATATAAACAGAATTCCTGTGTCTGCTACTCTTTCTAATACAAAATCCTGGTAATGTTGTCGGAGTGCCCTCCTGCAGGGGAGACTCGCTCCTTCCCAGGACATGGAGAGATCACTGATTGGTCAGTTGCTGGTGAGCCTCTATGACTAACTGATAGGTGGCGTCACGCCAATTAGTTAGAGGATTTCATTTAAGAGTTTATTGGTAAATGGGACTGAAAACATATGGTACCTACACTAAACTACGTTTTCATTTAAAAACAAATTCTGAAAAGAAATTTCCTTTGCCATTCACTTTCACTATGCATTGCAGGGTTTATACAGGAATGAGTAATTCTAATTTAATACTTTTTAATGCTCTTTGAAATAATTTTAATGACTTCAAGAAGTACCCATGACTATCATATAGCCTATCTATATATATATATATCTATATATCTCTCTCTCTATATATATATATATATATCTCTCTCTATATATATATATATATATACACTATATTGCCAAAAGTATTTGCTCACCCATCCAAATTATTGGAATCAGGTGTTCCAATCACTTCCATGGCCACAGGTGTATAAATTCAAGCACCTAGGCATGCAGACTGTTTTTACAAACATTTGTGAAAGAATGGGTCGCTCTCAGGAGCTCAGTGAATTCCAGCGTGGAACTGTGATAGGATGCCACCTGTGCAACAAATCCAGTCGTGAAATTTCCTCGCTCCTAAATATTCCACAGTCAACTGTCAGCTGTATTATAAGAAAATGGAAGTGTTTGGGAACGACAGCAACTCAGCCACGAAGTGGTAGGCCACGTAAACTGACGGAGCGGGGTCAGCGGA